CCGATATCGTTGGCACCGTGGGCGAAAGAGGCAGTGCAGGCAGTGATGATCTGGACGAAAGAGTAGGTGTGCTCGACCTCGTTGGGGTACTTCTTGGCGGCGCCGTAGACGCGCTTCATGCGCTCACCCTCGGGAGTACCGGCAATACCAGTCTGGGCAGCGTGGATGTCGTAGTGGAGACCGTAGAGAGCACCGACAGTGATCATGGCGGGAATGCGCTTGAGCATAATCTTCATGTTGTGGAACTCGTAAATCTGGCCGGGGCCCATAGGGTTGTCGCGGAGGAGGCGCATGGCCCAGCCGAGAGGACCACGCTTCTTGAGGAGCTTTGCGTGCAGCTTGGCCTCGCCTTCAGCCTGGAGCTGCTTGTAGGAAGGTCCCTGACCAATCTCGGCGGCGGCCAGAGACTTCTCGTGGGGAATGGAGGTCTCCTTGCTCTCCTTGAGAGGCTCGTCGCCAGAGTCGGAGGCCTGGGAAGACTCGTTGTGGCGGGGAAGCTGCTCGTCCTCCTCGTCCTCCTGGACGACGGCGTAGTTGGGAACCTTGGCCTGCTCAGCGTCGGCGGGAGCGGGGCGCTTGAACAGAAGGGGGCCCTGAATGAAGTGGTACCACTTGATGGTGTAGTCCTTCTTGATAACCTTGGCGTGGACGAAGGGGACGAAGAAGAGAGCGGCCATGACAGCGAGACCACCGCCAGTTCCCATGGTGACGGCGGCAACGTACCAAGAGGGCTTCTTGTTCAGGCCCAGGTTGGGAGATCCTTTGTAGACGATGGAAAGCGTGCAGACGGTACCGGCGATGAGGAAGAAGAAGGGCGAGGTGTAGACAGCCCAAGGGACCGGGTTCTTGCGGACGTGGACCACGAGCTTGATGAGCATGAAGATGATGGCACCGAAACATCCCGAGATGGCGGGAGCCATGCCCAGACCAGCGAAGATGGCACCGAGACCCTTTCCGTTGTTCCATCCCCATTGGACCTTGTCGGCGCCAGCGGTAGCAACACCGACACCAGCAACGGCGGAAATCAAGGAGTAGGTGGAGGAGACGTGGGCGGAGTGTCGCGTGCACCACATGACCCAGGAAGAAGCAGCGGCGAGGGCGCAGGTGAAGGCGAGCATCTGGACACCGGCATTGTCGTTGAAGGCGGAGTTGGGGATGATGCCGTTCTTAATGGTCTCGGCAGTACGGGCACCGACGGTGATGGCTCCTAGCATCTCGAAGATGGTGCCGAAGATCATGGCCTGTCTGTAGGTAATGGATCGCGACGACACACTGGTCGCCCAAGCGTTCGCAACATCGTCTGAAGGTTCATGCGAGTCAGCCTTTGAAAGTCTATCTCATCGCGTGCAGATCGGTGATGGAGGGGCACTGAGGCCACCTTCCGTTGCACAAGCAACTTGACCAGCCGGATCGGAGTTGTTACTTACTAGCACCGTTGTTGTATGCGTCAAGCATGGCAAAAAAAGTGCCAATGGCAAAGACATAGGTGTACTGATCGAGCGCCATTGTGACTGACTGCCGCTTGGCTGTGGCTTTGCGAGCAGAAGTGTTGTTGGTCTCGAGGAATGAGGGGAAGGGGGCGCTTGCTGAGGGACAGGACAGACATACAAGGCGATTACGATGAGGGACGAGCGCACACGATAGACCTTATATGTGTCTGCTTGGCGGATGCTGGTTTACCGCAGAACGAGGGCGTGGCGGCCATCAGCGGATGCAGAGACCAAACTCTGACTCCAAAGACTCTGCCCACACCCCATGCCCATGCCCCGCCCCATGTCTCTCCAGGTTCAGTTGCTGAACCATGTTCCCCTCTTCGTCTCGAGTCCTCAACTGCGGTATTCGTAAAGAGACGCCTCTCCCACATGGTTGTCCGTGGTCGATGAACCAGACCCGATGGACGGATGGCAGACTGGACGGGATGGATGCATCAAGGATGATAGATGGGGTTAGCGTGCCAAGATGTCGGTATCCCTAGCATACTAGTTCGGATCCACCCAGCAAGCTTTATTTGGGCGAAGAATCTCATCCCGCAAAGATTGGGGGCATCTGGAGTTGGCGAATCATGAGTCGTTGCCTCTCCACGTGTGGCATCTCTTCGCTACAGTTGTTTGACTTGGTCTCAACCCCCCTGCTCGTCGAGGAGCATATTAAGAGAGCGCCAAGCCCTCCTGGTCTTGGCCTGTCCGTCTCTGCTTGTTGCTACGCCGTCCTGTTGCTGATGTTGCACACGACTCTTCTGCTCAAAGTATGAGAAACAGCGTTACCACCGACGAAAGACCCCACGCACGCCTCCTCCGACCGACGCTCGACCTACCGATAAGGGTTTGCCTCTCCGGTCCTTTTGAGGCTTTCTCGTTTCTCCGTATCCACCAACATGAAATGTTTCTCCTTTGGATCGCAGCTAGGCCCTTCCTGAACGGGGTTTTCCCTTCCCACTCAGCCACTGTCGCCCAATACCCCTCCGATCAACGCTTAGCCCGGTGTCTCTCTTGACCACCCGGAATGCGTGTCCCAAGCACGTTGCGAAAAGTCTGTCGCCATACCTGCGCAAACAACTCTTGGCGCCTCGGTGCCCGGTTTGGTATAGCCCCGTAGTATGACCAACGACCGACGCCTCGACTCAGCAGAATAGGCAAACCCGGTGTCCGTATTGGCTAGCCGACGTTGCGATGCATTCTAGCTGAGGCCAAGAATGCCCAATCGTGACCGAGGACGCATGAGTTGTTCGGTTTGACAAATCCTTCGTCAGTGAGCTGATTTCCGCGAAATCCACGACCCGACTCGGTCCCATATGGAGAAAAAGCTGCCCGCCCGCAATGTCGCGGCCAAAGTGAACTATGGAGTAAAGCGTTGTCGCTCCAAGCCCATGACTAGTCTACCGCGGCAGGCCGGAGAGCTCCTAATTGCTCCGGCCCTCTGGGACACGTTATGGTTACATCCCGGTTCACTTCCATTTGCCTCCATTCGAAGATGTCACACGTGTTTTTACCCTCATCTTCCACAAGGGCACAGTGACACCCGGCGAATTCTCTTCAGAATGCCATGCATTGACGTTGATAATTGCGACTCTCCAATATCCAATTTACGACTGACGTTGCAGAGACGATGAAAATAACACATCGCCAAGTCGGGTACGCGATGCCAGGACGCACCCAAGCCTCTCGAACCCGCCGATCGGGGCTGAAGGAACGAAATACATGCCACAGCAGTGGGAAAGGCCTGGCAAGGCTTGCTACAGGCTGCCAATCGAACCAAGCTTTCCGCCTCCCTGATGACAAGAATCTCGGCGCTCCAGTGTCAGGCGCAGAAGGATGTGATGGCTGCATGCCGCAGTATTGGCAAAGCTTGACGCCTTCCAGCCGTGTCCAGACTCCCTGGAGATGACACGGCAAGTTCTCGGCGACCCGAGTTTTCGGATTGAAGTCCACACGCCATCCGTGACAATTGTCCTCTTCTTCCCCTCTGGGTCCAGGTCCAACCAAGACCGCGCCGTCTCCGAACCGCGTGCTAGACAGCCAAGACTCCGACGCCCACCCTCCTGGCTGGCCCGCCCACACCCGTTCGCCGCGACCGAACCCACGTGCTCGCTTCGTAGGCCAGGAGAGACCGCACCCGTTCGCGAGGCCAAGACGGCTCATTTTGGCTGGGCGATGCCTCGGCGATGGCCCTGCAAGGGGGTTGCAAGCCGGCCCTGGCTGGCTCAACAGCGCAATCGTCTGCAGCAGCGGCACGCCACATTCGCCTGCTCGCCTGCCAGATGAAGCGCGTGTCGAACAATCTCACGCGCTATTGGATCTTTTGACAATGGTGGCATTGGCCGTGGGCCAGCCTAGAAGCCCTTTCGAATCTTCTTCGTCCGCACAGCTGGGGTGCTGCATTGCTGTCTGCATCTGCGAGTTGCATCCGCTGTTGAGACACGTTCTGTTGCCCGACTTGGCGAGCATGACTGATGTTCATGTAAGTTTATCGCCACCCCGGATACGAGTGGTGTCCTGAAGGCTTCCCGATAGAGTTCGTAAGTATGTAGTATGGTTCCTTGGAGCCTTGGCATTCCTTCATAATGCTGTTGTTGGCCACCACTTTCGTAGACTGCTTCTCAACGGCGGGCGCAAGAATGGGAACTCTTTGATCCTCAAGAGACACCTGAACATGAGGAAAGCAACTGCCAATACCAGTATCTACAGACTGGGATAACGCTTGCTGCGGTCGAACACCACACGTGACGTCGCACCGCTTTTGACACCTACGTGCCCCCCAGAGAGGAACAAGGTTGCAGTAGTTCAAGACACATGGATCAGAGGGTCCCTGTGAGACCAAAGCAACATCGACATGCGAACCAGCTGCGGAGACCCAGTACGTGTTGCCGCTGTGCATATCAAGCACCCACAGGCATGGTCACCGCCAGCCGGGACCCGGCAGCCCGGCAGGGTTGTCCGTCCGGTCTGCCATGGTGGGTCGCCCATGCCGATGGGCCGACAGCTGGACCGCCTAGCGGCAGACCTATCTCTATGTTTATTTCCACTTCGACTCTTTGAATACATGATTCGAAAGGCCGGGGTTCGTGCAGATGTGGCAGGCCAGTGATGCACCACTTGGGTGGGAATGCCTGCTTCGAATTCGACAACCGAGTACTTCGAAATGGGGCTTGTCAAGGCAGCACCTACCGTAGCAAGTATGCTCGTCACTGCACCCAGATGCATGCCCATTTTGCGGAGCGAGCAAGTTGATGCCATGTGTGTGAGTACATGTAGCTTCTCCGTGAAGCACGGCGAAAGATGTGGGGCGCGCGGGGAGGTTTCCCGGCCCGGAAAACCACTTCCCCCGCCGCAGCGGCCGTGACGGGTTCGGATCGTTTGTCTCTTGGCACGGCTCACGGTTTCCGGTAGCCAACGGTCGCGGGAACAGAAAAAGGGTGTTTGGATAAATCAGGTCTGTTACGCACTCTCCTCAAGACTTCTCAAGAGGTCCTTATGTAGGCGATTTATTTGACCCATCCCACAATGACAGGAAAGAAAACAGCACTTGTGTTTGGAGCCAGCGGCGTCTCCGGCTGGTCATTTGTCAACGAGATTCTCCATGACTACCCCACTACCGGCGTCTGGGACGGCTGCATCGCACTCACGAATAGGCCACTTGATCTCGAAAAGACGCTATGGCCCAAAGATGAGAGATTGTCTGTCGTCTCCGGCGTTGACTTGCTGGGAGGGGATCAAGATGAGTTGAATAAGATAATGAAGCAGAAGGTCACAGGCATCGAGATGGTTACCCATGTTTTCTACCTAGGTGCGTTAGCCATAGTCTGCGATGGAGATATGGGAATACTCACAGACAACCGGTAGCTTACAAGGCTCACACGGACTGCAATTATGAGGCCGAGTATCACGAGAACATTGACATGTTCAAGAGGGCTGTCATCGCTGTAGATGGCCTCTCCCCGGCACTTGAGTTCGTCGTTCTACAGACAGGTTCCAAGGCCTACGGCTGTCACCTCCTTCGTAATCGACCAAGCAATATGGTTCCTCCAATGAAGGAGACGCTACCGCGAATGAGCCCGCCGCATGATGCAGGCCTCTTCTACTACCCGCAGCTGGATTGGATCGCCGAATATGCCAGCGACAGGTCTTGGTCGTGGTGCGAAACGAGACCCGATATTGTCGTCGGATTCGTCCCCAACGGCAACTGGTACTCTCTTGGGACCGTCTTGGGCATCTTCTTCAGCTTGTATCGCTACATCCATGGTGCCGGCGCTGAGTGTCCCTTTCCTGGATCCGAGGATAGCTGGAACGCGCTGAGTGTAGATGCTTCGGCGGACATGATTGCGAGGCAGACACTTCATTTGTCAACCACGGCCGCCGGGTCCATCAAGAAAGGGGATGCTTTCAACGTCGGCGATGCGAAAAGGGCGTCGTGCTGGCGAGAGAAATGGCCAGTGCTGTGCGAATATTTCGAGTTGAAAGGCGTAAAGAGCAAGCAGGACAACCCTATTGAGGTGCGCAAGTTCATCCGGGAAAACATATCGAGGTGGGATGAGCTGGAGACCAAGCATGGGCTTGAAAAGGGGCATGCCGACAATCCCATGATCTACCCCGGATTTGAGTACTTTCTCCTGACGCAGTTCGACGCGGACCGGCAGTTTGACATGTCGAAAATGTACAGCACCGGCTTTGGCGAAGAGCGATCGACAATCGAGGCTTGGGGGAAGGTGTTTGATCGGATGAGGGTGGCCAGAATCATCCCGTCGGCGTTCTGAGCATCATGTCTGGTTGAAGGCGTGGGAGAAGACACGCGGCGCATTGATGACGCGACCACGACCTCTGTAGTGGTATCCCACATTTTTTGACCCTGAATTTCAATCAAAAGAGAGGATTCACCCTTTTACAACATCGTTGTAGAACTCATCGCAAGACAAGAGTCTTGGCCGATATGAAGCGTGCGCCCGATGCGGTATTTTCGACGTCCTTTGGTGACGGTTTGGGGAAAAGGGGTGCGCACCCTAGGCTGTCACGCCCAGTGTGCTCAAATTGACCAGCTTTTCACTGCGGCAATGATTCGAAACGCGCTGGATATCACTACGGCGCTAGCCATCGCCACTGCTTGTCAGATCTTGGCATCAGAGAGCTGTGTTGGTGCCAAGGAGACGCGATGGCTTCTCGTTGGTCATCGAGCGGCCGTCGCCGAAGTCAGCCTTGGCATAAAGAATCAGTGAACAGATGGAAGCAGCTGAGAGCAGCTGGCGATCTGGAGAGCAGGGATTGAGTCGCATTCAACGTGAGCGGCCGCCCACTTTCGCGCGCGCTGCGAGTCATGGCGCAAACTCCCGTCCGATCTCCAACGGCTTCGCGTTCGGCAGTTCATCCTCAGTCCGCTCAGGTCATATGGCTGTCCATGCTTGGCAAATTGACAAAAAAGATACCACAGAGTACTTTGAAAGGCTTAATTGATGATAGGATGCAGAATTTTCCTCACACTTTGGGAACTGGGTTCTACGGTCCGCATTCGCGCTGATTGCGAATGTGAGTGAAGGTTTGGCTGACGCGCAATCCACTATTGATTCTGCGCCCGAGACAAGTCTCAAAGGTAAGCTGTTGGCGCTGAGCTTGTCTTGCACTCATTTGCATGTTAGACCGGATCGCGATGTAATTGGTCTTACGTCGGCTCGGTGAGACCCAGTCATCAGAGCCGGGCAGTAGGTTGAGCGCATAGCAGAGCATGCTAATTCTGTGGCATCAACACCTGACGATCGTCTACCTATGCTGTCACATGGATACTCAGATCTGTCAAACAAACATTCCAGCCTCTCGGGTCTTCTCCAATCTGACACATCGCGAATGCGGCGATGTCAGACATGGACTTGGAGATGGTAGAGGGGAGTCTATTTTTGATGTGCTTGACTCCTCACGACGCGTTTCGCCAGAACCGGGGATCGGCATCGAGCACAAGCCTGCAGGTTGTCTCTGAAGTGCGGTATTCATTGGACCAGACCAGGGCACAACATCTACAGAGACGAATCAAACGTGATGGAAGAGGAGCAAACATCAAGGACTGCTGCAAGTGATGTCACCTTCTTCCCCAGACCTGGCGCGCGAGTCCTTCAATTGCCCATGGCCGGACTGCTACGCGAACCGTGTGTCCGCCTTCGGGCCAACATTGTGTCGAGCCCCGGACTGTTCGAACCAGACCCCAGGAACTGCCGCTGATATCGCCCAATCATTGCCTTGAGGACTCGGCTCTGTTCCCACTCTCACTCACATGATGCCCGATCATCTTTGTCTTTCATCCGGGGGAATTCCAACTTTGGGCTTTCTGAATGGACATGCCAAGGATGCCATGCGAACTTCAAGGTCTCCAGAGATCCACCTCGTCTCTCTCAACTGGCTCCCCCAACCTTCACCCCGCACTTGAACCGAGATGGATGGGGGCACAACCAGCTTCCCCGGCGACTCAGAATCCGCCGTGTCCACCCCCGCAATCCTCTCCAAACACCCGTTACCCCAGACAGGCGCAACCGACTGCCTGTCCGTCGCCATTGACCTGAAGTTGTATGCGGGTTTTGCCCCCTTTGCGAGGGTTTGCTAGCCATGGCAAGCAAAGGGGGTGGACGTGTTCGTCAGCTTAGCGAATCGGCGCATGGGAGAATAAGGCTCGAAACGACCGAGAGTATGGCCGCCTCGACCTTTTATAAGCTTTCATCTGACCCGGTTCCCCTCGTTCCAGAAGACTTCAGCTCTGTCCAACGTGCGTTAAGACCCGAGCACCAACAAAAGCCCGGGCGACCAACGGCTGCTAGCGTCCGATTCCCGTGTCTCGCCCAGAGGCTCTGACACTACTGCAACTACAATCACCAACGTGCGACCGTCGTCGCTGTCTTATCCCGCATCCAGAGACAAGCCTGCCTTAGAACAACGCCGTCTCCCATCGACCGTCCACGATGGGCGTAAAAGAATTCCTCAAGAAGCGGTCCCTGCGCCAAAAGGACAATGTGCGGACGAACGCGGCCGAGCTGACTCTGAAGGAGTCGCTCTTCCCCATCTTCTTGGTCACCATCCTGTTCTTCCTATGGGGCTTTTCCTACGGTACGAGTTCATTGTCATTCGACCCAGTCTTGGCTCGTACGATAGCTGACATTATTTGGACAGGCTTACTTGACACTCTGAACAAGCATTTCCAGGTCACACTTGGCATCACTAGGGCCAGATCGTCCGGCTTGCAAGCCGCTTACTTCGGGTACGTCCATCCGCACGCGAATTCCCGCATCTTTGGGCTCGGTACCACTTGGCAGTTCGCCAATCTCCCACACTACCTCGCCGCATGCCCGAAAGCGGCACGAAAGCTCGCCAAGTTTCTAGACAATGTTCAAGAGCTACCATGTACTGACTCTGCCTCCACAGTGCCTACCTCCTCGCCAGTTTGGGTCATGCAGCCTGGATTTTGAGACACTGGGGCTACAAGGCCACCTTTGTGTTCGGCTTGTTCCTCTATGGACTCGGCGCCGTCATCGCGATACCGTGCATCATCGCAAAGAGCTTTGGTGGCTTCTGCGCTGCCATCTTCATCATCGGCAATGGTCTGGGATCCCTCGAGACGGCCGCAAACCCGTACATCACTGTGTGTGGCCCGCCGAAGCATAGCGAAATCCGAATCAATATCTCCCAAGCCTTCAACGGTATCGGCACCGTTGTGGCCCCCGTCATGGGATCATACGTCTTTTTTAACTTCGACGACGAACGTGCTTTATCGAACGTCCAATGGGTCTACCTTGCAATTGCCGTCTTCGTTTGGTCTCTAGCCATCGTCTTTTGGTTCTCCCACATCCCTGAGATCACTGATGCCGACATGGAGTTCCAAGCCTCCGAGACTCACGCCAACACCGATGTCAAGCCCTTCCGCAAGCAGTACCGCCTCTTCCATGCATCCTTCGCTCAGTTCTGCTACACCGGTGCTCAGGTTGCTATTGCTGGGTGAGCTTCTTCATCCCTTTGTACCATTGTGTTTGTCACCGCTGCTGACATCTTCTTAGCTTCTTTATCAACTATGTGACTGAGCGCCGAGCGGACACTGATGATGCGTTGGGTGCCAAGTTTCTGGCTGGTGCCCAAGCAGCTTTTGCAGTCGGACGTTTCGTCGGTGTCGGTATCATGCACTACCTCAAACCTCGCTTGGTCTTCATCGGCTTTCTCACCTGCTGTGTGATCTTCATCGCCCCCTCAGTCACACAACACGGTAACACCGGTATGGCGATGCTTTACATTGTTCTCTTCTTCGAGTCAATCTGCTTCCCAACCATTGTGGCTCTGGGTATGAGAGGTCTTGGCAGACACTCGAAGCGAGGCAGTGGCTTCATCATTGCTGGTAAGTGACTTGTTTTATTCCTCACAAATGCACTAGGCTCTGACCCTTCTCTCACAGGTGTATCCGGTGGTGCAGTTGTCCCTCCTTTGCTTGGTGTTGTGGGCGATCACAAGGGCATGGGAATTGCCATGGTCATCCCCCTCATCTTTTTCGTCCTAGCATGGAGTTATGCTTTCGCCGTCAACTTCATTCCCTCCTACCGAAATGTCGTCGATGCTTTCACAGAGACCGAAGTCGGCATCCGACCCGTCGAGGAGGAGAAAGGAGGAATTGAGGCCATCGAGGAAAAGCAGACCAAGAACGCCACCCCCACGTTGCCGTGAATACGACTCGGAGACTGGAAGAAGGGGCTTGAAACAGACAAGATGATTGCCGGAGCAGTGTACTTTATTACCGAGATACCACTTGATTTTGAATTGAAGATCTGAAGAACATTTTGTCTAGGGAGGTTAGGAACGTCTGACGTTAGGACAAAGTGTCCCACCAATCGGCAATTACGTCAAAAGATTTAATTAGCATGGACAGATACCAGCTGCTGTATTTCGGAGTGGCCTCTTGGGAATGGCACTACCAAATGCTATGGTGATCATTTCTGTTACCCCGTTGCAAAGGCTGCATACAACTGGGAAACGCGCTCAATTCTTTTGATATAAACCGGTGGGTTGCGGTAAAGTTATCAGGAAGCATATGATTGTTCATGACTAAGTTCCATGATGTTCTAAGACGATAGAGACTGTTGATATCATACTTAAACTGGGGCTAAAACAAAGAGGTGCGGTGTGATGCGGACTATATGTTGCCCTCACTTCCTTGATACTAGAGGCTGAAATGCTACTGTACCATCGCATTTGGTGAAGTTCTCATTCTCCTTCTACCATGATCAGTATGGTCATATTCGGCTGCAATACTCTGTGCAATACTTGAGAAAGCCATACCACGGCCGCAGGACAATCAGGGTTCTGATGGGGTTTCATTGGGCGTAGCCGTGGTACAAGCCTTGTGAGAATCCTCTGAATTCGCTCTCTTCTGATTCATACGATAGACTTGACATCGTAAGCTGTGGACAGTTTCTGGGTAATTTAATTTGTTAATCTTTGTAAACGTGGTAGAAATCCAGGACCCAGCTTGTTGCCTGTCCATATAATCGGTTTACGAGGGCGATCATGCTGGATGCCCAACTGTCGCCTAACCAAGGCATTTCCGAGGTTTATGGGACATCTGCGATGAATCTATCTTAGAAGCGCGGGTGCTTGTACTAATAGTCTGAAATAACACAGTCTTAACTAGAGTATCAAATGTGAATTTATCGATGATCACTAAAGTTCGTTTGATAGATGTAATAGAGATCCCAAAAGAACTTTCGCAGAGTTTTAGGAAGTGAAATGTACCCGAAGAACTCAAATGAAAAGTCATTGTTCAAGAGAACGTCAGGTTTATACCCGTAGTATCAACTTTTCCAAGATATCCTCACCGCACCTTGAGAAAGACCTGCTCACCTGAGAAGCGTTTATTTGCAAAGCAGTTGATTATCGTTGAACGCATTTGACTCATTCTTGACGAAAAGTCACATTCTCGGCACAGGAAACTACGGCGCGGCACATTTTGTCTTGCTAATGGCTCTTGCTGGTGTGATAGCAAAGGTACCACTGGAAAAGATCCGCGAATACTTACTATGGCTCGTTCTGTCAAATAACTACAACTAATGCTTCACTTTTATAAAATGATGCAAACGTACGCAACCAATTTTGCTTCTGATATTCAATCAATGCACTCTTCCAGGTCAAGCCTTTGCGAACACGCACATATGAGGAAGCCTCCCCCAAACGCATGTCCTTCAAAGTGACAAAGTCAGCAGCCTATGGGTTTGTTTTGGTCAAGATGGCGGCGCTACTTGAGTTGAAAATGGTGCTTCGGAACTCTTGTGACCATTCACTAGTTCCAGTCTCCGGCCATGACGTCCCCGACCGCCGCCGTTCCGGCCTCCGACCCCGCATCAGCCGCCGCCGACGCCAGCCAACCTCTTTCGGAGCCGGCACCCCCACCCCCGGCCGAGCTCGGGCTCACGATCGACCAACTTTTCTGCCTGAAGGCTCCTAGGTCCACAGCCAAACGAACAACGTCGGCGCCCGACCAGATAAGAATTCCGCCACTCGCTTCTGCAGCAGCGGCGGGCCCGTGGCCGAAAGAAGAAACGCCCCCAGGCCTTCCAGAACGCCTCGGCACCGCGGCCAGTGCCGAGTGCGGCGGGGGCACCAAGTCAACCACTTCCAAGGTTTTCGATCCTTGAGGTCCCACCGGCGGCGTCACGATCCGCGCTGCGGCCCTCCTGCGAAAAAACCAGGAATACGGTTACCGCCGCAAAACCGCCGACGCGGCGAGTTTAGCGAGCTCGGTAGCCGCTGCGTATCGATCGGATCGTGATCGTCAGTACCAAGCTGGTTGACTCTGCTGTCAAAGGAGAAAAAACTGGTCTCGGGAACAGGTGTTTGCAGATCGATGTCACGGAGGATTTTTTTGGGCAAGAATTGGCACTTTGAATCGTTGGGTCCCAAAACTGGAACCTAGTCGTTAAACCGACTTCACTTCTTTGGCATTGCGACGGTTTTATCAGAACATGCCGATTTACTTGACGCAAAAGGGATCCCCCGAGATATTGTTGATACAAAGCAATGCAGCAACAGTTCCGCTTCTCATCGGTGTTGAGTATTGACGTCATAGCCTCATCTACCTTTGATAACTCGCCCGCGATGAAACCATTGACAAAAATCGTATTTTGTAACACAGACTGGGACCAGTGGTTGCCAGACAATCACTGTGGAATCCTCCCTTGTTGGCGATGTACACTGTTGTAGGTACGGCAAGAGGTTGTAGTTGCTTATTCATCCAAATACCAACCCAGATGTTCGGTTCGCAGCCGCTGTAGCATTATCGTGAGGCTTTCTTTGGGACCACTTATCCACACGATGTGGAGGTGGAGTTTTTCAACGACATGCGATGGCTGCGCGGCTACGAGGCCTTCGAAAAGAAGACGACTGATGCTCAGATATGCGAAATACTCAATGAATTGGATCTTTGGAGAGTCTGTTCGTTCTGAAACCGTCTCCTAGCGTCGAATTTTGTGTTCTTCAGAAATAAGGCCCAAAAACACCGAAACGGCCGTTTAACGGCCTTGAAGCTGATAGTATAGCAGGATGTCTATCAAGACATTGTTTCCGATGCTGTCGACGTCGTGGTTTTCCGAGGCTTTGAGTTTTGACGTGTGGATGTTTCGCGAGAGGTTTCGCAGTCGTGACCCATAAATGAAGCCATCGTGAGTTTTCTGATCATTGTGGGGTGCGAAGCATTCGCGTTTTCTGGGGTTCGCAAAGTGAGACTATATCGCATGTAAGTCAAGCTCCATTCCAGCAGCCCTTCTCAATTTGCAGCTTCATCAAACCCTCAGTGATTAAGACCGAAAGACTTTTTCATCGTTCATCAGAATTTTACCCTCATGAGGCCTCCACGTCATTCTCCGGAATCTTCCTCTCCTCCGACTTTTGACGCGAAGGCCGTTGGGGATCGGTGCTGATCAACATCTACGACTCGTGGCGCGACATGCGCAAAAACGACTTGATGTTACTTTACCTTGCCATTTTCTATTGGGATGCTCTCATCTACGTCTGCCCTGACTCGTGCCACGTCGGGCGTTGATTGCAACAATTTAGCGTTATCTTGCGCAGCTATCTACGTGTACGGCGTCGGCCACGGCATTTGATGACGAGTATGTCCGAGCTCAATAGCATTGTCGAATGCGTTGTTTTTTTTTGTCCTCCATTTGCGCTTGTAAGATTGACGGGCGCAGTGCGTCTCACTTTGCGCAGACTCGGTTCCATTCTTAGGATCTTCTTCCACCTGGCCGTTTCGCCATTATTCTCGGCTACCTCGCGGGAGTCTTTTTTCCTATCCCAGCCTCCCGCAAGAAACCTGCCTCATTGCCTGATCCCGATGCATTAAGACGTAATCTTACCGCAGCAACTTAGCTGTCGGCGTGAAATCCCTCATGAAACCAAGTTTGACTCTGCAGCCTCTCCAGGGATGACATCCAGCAGAGTTTGAAATTTAGATCATCATCCAATGAAGACGGGCGCTGCAACGAGCAAGAGGTCCTGAGAGGAAAATCCATTATCAATGTTATGCTGGCAAGGTGGACCCTTTTGCCCCATTATCGGTGTGTGAAGGTCAACACACCGCCAATAGCACCGAGTCCTATTGGGATTTTTGGTCTTCATGCACCGTGCTGAGAGGCTGAAGGGTGAGGGACATTTTTTCACCTTGCATCGGGGCTCCACCAGAGATCTGCCCTCCAGTCTGTGTGTTGATACGTCCCTATCATTGATCCTTTCACGGCGAGACGGGGGTTCCTTTTGGGACTCTTGGCCTTAGCGCCAGCCAGTCCCAGTCCACATTACGAGGCATTTACCCAGTAATAAACTGTGTTTCGAGTCCACAATCACGCCAGGCAGGCTGGGAGAACGAGAATGTGCCTCGTTGCCTTGGACGAGATGATAGTAAACTGGAGAACGCGTGGGTCGTTGATAGGGCCTTGTCTCAGGGTGCACAAGCACAAGCACAAGCACTGCACTGCAAGCGCAATCACGTAGATAGATGCCTCTTCAGGCAGATAGGGGTCGGTATCGATAGTCGCCAGCAGGGGTCTCGGGAAGGCTCTGCTTGGCTGCTTGCGTTGCCTGCAAGGCGGCGGCGCGGCTTCCTTTCGCGGCTTTGAGAAGATGTACAGGAAAATCCGGATATCTCCTGCCGATCTACTGCCTCGACAAGTCGTAGGCGCGTCCAATTTGCTGGGCTGGTGGCTTGGCGCACATGTGAAAAAATTCTTTTCTGTTTTTCTTCTTCTTGTCTTTTTTTTGGTTGACAGCGAACATCGATAAGGCTCGCAAACTTGGTCAATCAGGGTCTCTCTGCAGAGAACATCCTTTCTCAATCCTTCGTCTCATGCTTTAGAGCCATGCAGAAGACGGCAAACAGGGACATACCACCCAAGGCCTCACCGACCGAGGGCATGAACACGGACACGGCACACAGGGAACCGATAGCGATACGGATGCTGGACGGAACAGAGGCCGATAAGGCTCAAACTTCCAATGGCTGTCAAGCTGTTGCAAACGCACAGATTGTCGAGTTCCCAAGAGGCAGCCAAGTCGTCCACCTCTTCGCCCAGGCTGAAGGAACAGCGGGCCCTTCCGAACACTCCCGATAGGACATAGGGGTCCTGCAGGCTACATGCCTCCATTCCGCCCTACATCGGACCCTCCAATGACATCACGGCGTGGCCTGAAACCACGTTCCTGAGTTTCGCAGGGGGGAAAGGCCAATCAACGATGTGAAGCAGGGATCAAGAGTTTCCTGAAAGGCCCCAGCGTTGTAAACGCTAGAACAACTTTTCACCGTCTTCTCCATTTCCCGTCCAGTTCAACCGAGTCTGGGTACGTACACGGTACGGGCGGAGTGGGAGTTCTGCAACACGGTGACAGCCTGCTCATCCCAAGGAGATGCCGATTCGAGGTGTACATCATACATGTGATGGCAAACTCGCGACTCGCATCATCACCCGTCCCGCATCGCGCTTGCCATCCGTTCATACGCCACACGCGCAGAACACCATTTGCGGGAACTTCTCGGGCTTCAGTATCCAGTTTAAGATGGAGCTTGAGAAGCACCACGTTTTAAAAGATCCACCACCAATGTGAGGGCCTCCGCGGCTTGACGTCATGGGCAGATGGAGTGTTGCCGTCGCTAAGGGCGCTTCATTTCAGACACCTTACCCAGAAACCCCGTACAAAGTCCCTCATTTGCGGGTTGCACTCCGGAGGAGGAGGAGGAGGTGGTGGTGGTGGTGATGGTGGACAGCCACCACTTCTGCCTCGGGTTTTACGGAGACCATCTACCTACGAATACGCATGTCTTTAGCTATCGCAAACGGCGACGGCTGAAACGGCGCCAAAGTGGCTGTCTGTCTGCAATGTCTCTGCAATGTGTCCTCGGGAAAAATAGACCGAACAATGTTCCTGGCTAAGGCTCCAGTTTAATTCTAGAAAACTTCTCGCGTCCGACCGTTGAGAGTTGTGATTGAATGACAGACTCACGCTACAGGCTGAAGATCAATCTATTTGCCACCACCCGAAAAAAGCGATGGGAAAAAATAGAGCAAGGCACAGATTGAGGCTCAACAACCAAGATCTTGGCTGTGCTGAACTGTACTTCAGCCTCATAACGGCATAACCAGGACACCATTTCGTCTGATACAGCGCCCGTGCCGGTATCGATAAGCCATGAATCGACCTTGTCAGGCTAGGCGGGATTCGGGATGGTCCATGGAGACGGAGGTGAGGGCCTCAGTCTACACAGGCGGCAGTACATACGAGCGCGCTTGGCCGCCAGCCTTCAGGGAGGTATGCGGGCACGCCCTGACTCGGTCGTTGTCCATCGGCTCAGCACCGGCGGAGACACGGCACGTCATCGGCCCATTGCACGGCGGAGCAACGGCCCAACGCCGGCGGAGAAGTTCTACGTCATTGGCCCCAGTTGCGTGCGGGTCAGAGACTGAGAAGACCCCGTTATCGCTGGTCTCACGGGGCCTCAAGACGGTTCAACCCAGTACCGTCGAGACAACGGACGGAGACCGACTGGGGAACCGCCGGCACCGACTCGAAAAACAACATCGAGATACCGTCTCAACACCAACGAGGTACAGACCCAAATTCTACGGGGCACTGTCCCCAGCCTCAACGGGGCATCAACCTGGTAGGGACGGGACATTTACGGCGGGTCCGCCGCAGGCGACAGCAAGACGCCATCGGTCCGAAAAAGGAAACAGGAGGCCATCCACTGTCGTTCTTCAGAGAGACATCGAAAAGGATAAAAAGGACGAGATGAATCTGCTTCAATGAGTCTCTTTTCGATCCAGCATCACACACCACTCCAATCCAATCTCATCACATTCAAATACTCTTCTCCGCGCCTCTCAACAGCTTCATCTGATACCCATCTCTCTCCAACATCAACAACTTCGACACTTTCGATTTACACCACCACCACCACACACATTCAAAATGGCCGCCGTTGAGTTCGCTTCCCGCAAGCCTGAGCTTGGTATGGAGAAGGTTATCAACCCTCGCCGCCAGGACTCTGGATACGCCTCTCCCTGCGACTCTCCCCGCCTCACCGTCCAGCTTAACGACGGCAACGAGATCCCTCAGATTGCCCTCGGTGTCTACAAGGCCCCCAACGGCCAGGAGACTGAGGAGGCTGTCATCGCCGCCCTCGATGCCGGATACCGCCACATCGACTCTGCTGCCAGATACGCCAACGAGGAGGCTTGCGGCCGCGCTCTGAAGAAGTGGCTCCAGAAGACTGGCACTCCCCGCAGCGAGGTCTTCATCACCACCAAGCTCTGGGATGCTGACCACGGCTACGAGGCTACCTTCAACGCCCTCTGCGACTCCCTGAAGAAGTTCCAGCTCGACTACTTCGACCTCTACCTCATCCACTCCCCCTCTGACGACAAGGAGAAGCGCATTGCCTCCTGGAGAGCTCTGGAGACTGCCCAGCGCCTCGGCAAGGTCCGCTCCATTGGTGTCTCCAACTTCGGTGTCAACCACCTCGAGGAGCTTCTGGCCGAGACCTCTGTTGTCCCCGCTGTCAACCAGATTGAGGTCCACCCCTTCCTCCAGCGCCAGGACCTCGTCGACGTCTGCCGCCAGCACGGCATCGCCATCGAGGCCTACTCTCCTCTCGCACGTGGCAACAAGCTCGAGGACCCCGTCATTGGCAAGCTTGCTGAGAAGTACGGCAAGACCCCCGCGCAGATCCTCCTCAACTGGAACGCCGCCAAGGGCAACATCGTCCTCCCCAAGTCTCTGACCGCCCACCGCATCAAGTCCAACTTCGAATCTTTTGACTTCGAACTCTCCCCTGAGGACGTCCAGGTCATTGACAACCTTGAGGAGGGCTACATCACCGGCTCTCTCCACAAGACCGAGGACTAAATGCCTTGAATGGCATGTGCTTTGACGCACCCCTTTCGTTCGGCACCCCCACCGCTGGATCCTCCAGCAACATGAGCTTTCCTCCATCCTGAGAGGCTACCGGAACAGCCTTTACGATTGCCGACGACGAGCATCGCACGTCGTCCACCCAGGACATGATAAGGAGTTGATTGCTACTGGCGCCACTGCGCCCTCTTCCCCCGCCGAAGAGCATTTATTTCGGAGTATGGGTTTGGTTTTGGGATATCATAGAGATTGCATAGATCTTTGTCTAGACTAGCGTGCTAGGCATCAGTCAGGCTTGTTCTGATACGAATTTACGTCTTCATCTTTTACAACTTGAGCTTCAATCGTGATCGTGAGAGGTAATATGGCAAAAGTGACAAAATGACGAGATCCCAGGTCTCTTCATGCTGCAACGGTTTCCTTGGCTGTGAATGGGTCCACAGTACATTCATGCCTTTTGCCTGGTGGATGGCTTGAAGAAAACTGGGTCACCCCAAGGCTTCATGTCCTGTCGTCTGAAGTTTCTTCCTAGCTGACGTCGATCACGAATTAGAGTCGGGAAAGCCGCTAGTCAGTCAAAGGAGCACACCGCAATTTCAAGGTCAATCAGTAGCCCGGGCCGCCTTTTTGAAAACGAAATTGAAACGAAATTCTGAGGTTGAAGATCAGCTTCTCAAGAATCGCCGATTCCGTTAAGTTCGAAGCAGGCCGAGCGTAGATTTCGCTTGGCATTCCCATGTGTGATCTTCCATGAACACCGTTCGCGAACTTGTCCGGATTGATATCAAACTCAAACTGCGCTGATGTACACAAGCTGCCAAAAGCTAGTTCTTCCACTGATGTCCGTTGGCTCCGTTTGTTCTGCCATCGTATTGGTACCGTTCCTCCAGCTCAAAGTATTTGTTGAATCCAACACCGTCGCACACTTCTGCATAGGAAAGAACGGTTGGTGGTTTGCCGACGGTGAGGGAACCCTTGAGTGCCTCCAGTGTTTCCCGAATGCTTCTCAATTTGGCTGCGACGAGTGTCCATGGATATGCCACTCCGCAATATCCGAGTTCACCCAGTTCCTTCGCGGAAAGGTTCTCCGTCTTTCCGCCCTCAATGATGTTGGCGAAAAGGGGGAAGTCGAGATCCTTCCGCAGGCGTGCCATGGTCTCACGATCGGGAAGGGCCTCTACAAAGACAGCGTCGACTCCAATCTCGATTGCCTTCTTGGCCCTGGCAAGCGCCTCATCATACCCAAGAATGAGACTGTCGGTTCGAGCCATGATCCAGATATCCAATCCTTCGTTCCTTGCATCCACTGCAGCCTGCCATCGGGCGTATGCCTCACTTCTGGAGATCACACTCTTGCCAGCGGTGTGACCGCATCCTGGAACACTTAGCCCCAGTCCATCATCGAATCATCAAGGGGGTGCTGAAATATCTTACTCTTCGGCCAAGTCTGGTCCTCAATCATGATACCGGCAGCTCCTGCTGTTGCGAAGCTATTCAGAGCAGGTTAGCCTTCATAGAGTACAGTTTGGCTAGATATTACTGTACCCTTCCACAGTTCTTCTGACGTTCATAGGACCGCCGTATCCAGTGTCGCCATCCACAAGAATCGGGACGCTGGTCACTCGTGCAACTTCTTGGACCTTCGCTGCGACCTCCTGGAATGCAATGTATCCTGTATCAGGCAGGCCAAAAGCAGAAGCCATGGCGTAGCCAGCAAGGAAGACAATGGGAAATCCGGCTTCCTCGCAAAGTCGAGAGCTGAGAGCATCGTAGCTGCAGACGTGTGCAATGATTTTGGAAGGGTCATCATGAGCTTCCTGCATAAGGTAGCGGAGCTTGGACGCCTGCAGGGACGGAATCCGTCCGCGAGAGCTGTCTAAGCTTATGGTTGCGCGGTCGCCGCTCTTCTTGACATTTGGCAGGCTGTTTGTCTCGAAGTGAAAGGGATAAGGGTTCGTGTTCACAATTGATTTGGACATGGTGTGTGAGTTCGAAATGCTTGAATAAGTGAAACTGAGTCTGTGAATGTTGGGCTGGATGTCCACCTGCCCATACCAAGTTCATCACAGAAACTGGCATCTTATATACACGATTGATGATGGGTTCTTTGCACCAAAAACAATATCTTCTCCGTCCGATTTTCGGAGTGGCGAAGCGTAAACTGTGAACTTCGGCAACGTGTTTCCCTATGGTCTTCGAAGATGCCTCTTGGCCAGTCCATCGTCAGCGCCGCTTCGTGCGGGGGAGGGGATCCAAGCACGCATGGTGCTGCGCGGCGGGGCATGCAAGGGCGGACCGACGCGGATAGTCGCGGAGCGTCGCGGGCATGATTTTCCTCCTCATCACTTTCTTCAACTGATCGTCAACAACGTTGGCTTACTGCTAATTGCATAGACTGGATACTTGGGTGGTTTCACGAGGTAAGATCAGTCCTAATGGCCCACAGCTCCTGGTTGACTCAAGCAGGGCCCCCATAGACTGACTATCTTTCATATCCATGATTGACACTCATGATGAGTGATGGATCAAGGGCCGACCTTGGGGATGCCTCGGCACCGCAGGAGTCCCCACGGTACAGACGGACATATGTCGCTTGTGATTCTTGCCGAGCTCGAAAAGTAAGATGCAACATGGGAGAGAAGCCGCCTTGCGCGAAGTGCAAACGAGAGCATCGCGACTGCCGATTTGACCGTCGCCCCAGAACCGCGAAACATAGAGATGTCCCGGCCTGGGCAGGATCGACAACATCGCAACGTTTAACGACATCACCGGCACAGCAGAGTTTATCCGACGTAACCCAAGCGGTTTCCTCGGCAGCATTGACTCAAGCCAATGCTCGAGCTCATCAGCAAGAGGTCTCTCCTGAAGACACTATTCCATCAACCGATCCTGATAACCACCCCATCGCATGGCCTCAGAGCTCCCTTCCAGACAGCAGGTCAATCTCTGACAGAGTCATGTCGAGTCTTGTGACGGGTTCTAATGATGCTCTCGACGTGTTGTCTGACGCGGCAAACTTGCTTCATCATAATACGGCATCACCTGCTTCTGGGCCACCCACGCAAACGACTCTGGCCATGCAAGATATCCCAGTCGCTGTCCCTGCCGCTATTAGTCCAGGCTGCCAGAGCGGAGCGGGGTTCAACATAATAACTCTGTCGGAGCCGACTGATGCCATCCTGGACATGTGGGATAAATGCAGATTTGTCAGACAAGGCTGGTTCACCTCACAAGAGGCCGTCACATATGTTGATCTGTGAGAGCATAAACTGCAATGAAGAAGATTGGCCACTGATCCTGAATGCAGATTTTACAAATACCTGTCTCCATGGTCACCAGTCGTCGTTGATCAGTATTGGAATCACGAAGCACACACCGCTCTCATATGTGAAGAGTCAATGCTTTGTTGCACAATATTGATGATCTCTTCACGATTCTTCATGCTCCCAGGCGCAGGCGGAGTATCTAGAAGCCACCTTATACACAACCGTCTTTGGCAGTATTGCGAGTCCCTGATAAAGCGAATCATACTCGGCCAGGAGAAAGTCTCATCCGCCAAAATGAGAATTATTGGAACTATTGAAAGTTTGTTACTGATATCAGATTGGCATCCCCGCGCTGTACATTTCCCACCGGATACAGAGGGTTGGGATGCCGTGCTAGTCGACACCGAATACGATCGCCAAAATCGCAAGCGTACAAATAATGAAGAACCACTCCTCCGGTGGCGTAAAGATGTATTCGAGCCAGCAAAAAGAGCCAGTCGGATGTCTTGGATGCTTCTTGGCTTGGCGACAAATCTCGCATATGAGCTTGGGGTTTTGTCGAGCGACCATCAAGGAGACGCATCTGGCCTCAACATAGCTGAGCGTCGGAAATTCCGAGCTCAAAAGCTTCTTTACACCTACATGACACAGACAGCGACACGACTTGGCTATCAAACCGTGTTCCCAGAAAGCATTTCAATTGTAGTCGCCCGATCATCAATGCGACATATAGACGACGAGGCACAGGTTTCATGGAACACTCACATGGATGCGTACCTGGAACTTACCCGGCTTTCGAAAGTGGCATCGACAATGTTCTTTCAATCCAAAAATCACCTGGAGTCTGTTCTTCAAAATGATAACTACCCCGATCTTCTGGAGCACTTTCTCGCCTCGCTGTCGACCTGGAATAATACGTTTGGGTCGACTTTGACAGGTTTGAAACCCCACTCCCAAATGACCAGATCACCTTCTATGTCTGACTAATTTCGTAAGATACTCACGAACCTCTCAAAGACTCGCTGCTCATTGAATTGTACCATCTAAAAGCCTGCATTGGTTCTATTTCCATACAGGCAGTAGTAAAACGGGCAACTGTTTCGGGGTCAGTGCGGCCACATCAAGACGGTCTGGCTTCGTACATGACCGTTCAAGACGCGAAATTTTTGCGAGGTGTCCTTTCAGATAGCTGTCAGGTGCTAGAAATGGTAACCGAGAGACCATTCAGGGAACATCTGGCATACGCTCCTGCCCGTATCAGACTGAACGTAATTTCAGCATCTGTTTTTCTGCTAAAGGCTATCAGCCTTGGATCGCCAGCAACGGATGTGGATGGAGCTCTGCGTGCGCTGGATCGGTGCACCACTACCCTGAAGAACTATCCGCCAGACGATATGGACTTCGCCATGAGATACGCTGATCTTATTGAAAGACATGCGTCAAGTCTCCGTGGCACGCTGTCATCGATGTCTCAACCTTTGAGAGAAGGAAGAAGGCCGAGCCAGGCCTTAACAGATGGCCATATGAGCAGTCTTTACAGCGGACTTGATCTCACAACTTCTCATTCAGAAACGGCGACAACTGAAGCAGCATTGCTGGATCAGTCGGGTTTTTGGCGAACGTGGCAATTTGACTCCAGCATAGCTCCATTTGGCGATACAGCTGATCAGTTATCCCATGGGTTCGACGTTGATTCTCTCAACTTCTTATGGAACCTGCCGGATATTAGCTCGTGAAGCAATCAAAGGTGCTGTATTGTAACTTGGAGAATACTTTGCCCAGGTTAAGTCACGTTGCCGCCGCTTGTGTCTGGAAGCTTGCCCAGCATCGAAAGAGCAGTCAGAGAAAACAGACTTCAGGGACCAGTCAATGCCAACGCCATGTTGATCCGTGTCGATCCGCATCGGACCTCATAGGTCCGTGTCAATCCGTGTCAGTCCGATGGGCCCCGCACCGGCCTGCTGGCCCTCGGCCCTGCTCCCGCCATCCGTGTAAGGCCGGACTGAACCTCACGGAAGACATTCGGCATATGCTATAATCCGTCTGCAACCGAGCTTATCGAGCCATACTTTGTCCGGGCTAAACAACAATCAATCGAGCCAGCGACAGTGTCACTGGAGCCACGGACGCTAGCGGACGGAAACGTGCAGGATCTCTGGGGTAGTCTGGGGTAAATCTGGGGAAACCTAGCATGCAACTCTTATCATCAGCAGAGATTTGTATAAAAAGTTCACTCAATTTTCCGAGATTTTCGACTGGTTTCATGTTCAGATCACCTCCTATTTGGAAATCTGCACGTATACCAACGAAACCCAATACGAATTTCACGAAATGGCCCTTATCGAACTGAAAGAAGACACGCCTGCTTGCGATCATGTTGAGAAAAGCGAAAGCCTTGAGCCAGTAGCCAGCAATTTTGGCCATACTGGCACAGGCAAAAAAGTCAGTCCAGCAGAGATCAAGCTTGTGAGGCGCCTAGATTGGACCATTCTCCCTGTGCTTTGGGTCATGTATTGGTTCAAGTAAGCAATGTTAGGACCAACTAAAGCGCTGCGACTGATTGCTACAGCTACCTCGACCGGAATGCTATCACTGTCGCTAGATTAGACGGAATGGAAGAAGAACTCAACATGACATCGACGGAGTACCAAACCTGTGTCTCCATCCTTTTCGTGGGGTACATCTTGGGGCAGATTCCAAGCAGTAAGGCCTCCCTCACATGCCATTCCTAAGTCTGACTTTTTCAGACATGCTCATAACAAGGGTCCGTCCTTCCTGGTTCATGGGAGGAGCGATGGCCCTATGGGCCATCGTAAGCACCCTCACAGCAGTGACCAAGGACTACAAGGGTCTTCTTCTCACACGCTTCTTCTTGGGGATTACGGAAGCCCCCTTCTACCCAGGAGCTTTGTACATCCTCGCCATGTTCTACGATCGACAGGAAATCGCCACTCGAATTTCTATTTTGTTTAGTGCTAATATTTGCGGCACGGCTTTTGCGGGTCTCATCGCCATTGGAGTCTTCCAAATGGAACAACTAGCCGGTCTGTCTGGCTGGAGATGGTTATTTATCATCCAAGGAGTCATTACATTCGTCATTTCTATTGCCTCCATATTCATTCTACCGAACGAGCCCCTTAACACGCGATGGTTGTCTGAAGATGACCAAAGACTTGCGCATGCCCGGGTAGCGAGAGACACCGTCGAACTTGAAGATAACACGAGCACTTGGGCTGGGCTGCTCCAAGCGACACGCGACCCGCGTCTTTGGGTTCTTGTCTGTTGTCAACACTGCCACATGGCTGCAAGCAACTTCAAAAACTTCTTCCCCACGATAGTTGAAACTCTGGGCTTCGATAGGAACGTCACTCTCGCTCTTACTTGCCCACCTTATCTAATCTCTGGTGTTATATCTGTGATTTGGGCGGCTAGCTCTGGTGAGCTTCTTGCGTACTCTTTCTTCGGTTTTATATGGTTAACAATGAATTAACAAACTTAGGGCGTTTCAACGAAAGAGTGTGGCATATCACGATCGCCAAAGCTATTGCGGTCTTCGGGTTTGTCCTGGCCTGCAGTACGCTTAATACCGGGGCTCGTTACTTCGCAATGTGCGCGTTCGCAACCGGAGTCTATGCCTGCAACAGCGTGATCCTGGGATGGGTATCGAGTACTTGTGGGCAAACGAGAGAAAAGAAAGCTGTGTCTCTTGCGTTGGTAAATACCATCGCCACAATCGGACCCATTTACACTCCTGTAAGTACACATACACATTGTCTCAAGGTTGCGTCCCTCAGGCTTGGCTCACAATTCTGAAGTACCTTTGGCCGGCCTCAGATGAACCCAGATATACTACTGCTATGGCCTCAAGTGCTGCATTTTCTGCGGCAGCTGCGGCCTTAGCATGGCTTCTGAGACGGATGCTGATCAAAGAGAATCAAAAGGTACTGCGCTCAGGGACAAGCAACGTGTTGCTGTATAGTTATTAGTTAAATAACGGGCTAGTTACAATCTCTTCAAAACCCGTCGTTCGTTGCTCAAATCCATCTTCCCGTTCCACCACTCGTGTATCTTTTGCCTGTCCGTGTTGCAGCCAATAGCATATTCAATTTCATTTCGTCTTTCATCCTTTCGTGGCTCATGTACCGGGGTTTACGGCTCGCCTTAGAGAGTTGCAGGAAATGCGATGTGCCTGAGGAACCCGCTACCAATGTTTCCGATTTCTCTCCACCCCGTCCATCTTTTGCGATTGGGCTCTGCTTGGAAGGTCCGTGAATGATTTCACCTTGACGAGCCGATGAGGTGTGCAAGATACCGGTGTCACAGGGGTTGATGCTGAGAAGACTCTCTCGACAGGGCGAGATGATGGATGAAGGCTGTCCGAAGTTGCCCGTGTCAAAGTCGGGATTAAGAAGGATCCTTTGCGAGCGGAAGAAGTGGCATCATCGGAGTACGATGAGACACTACGTGGAGGCTGGTTTGGGGTAATGGCCAGACTCGGTAGTCTTTGGGTCTTCTTTTGCCGTGTCTGGTCTTGTCTAGCTCTTGAGTCGGGAGCAAGGTTGTAATCGGACCGGATGATTAGTGGCGAAAGATCAGGACCAAATGAACCCATTGTAGCTTCTTTGGCTGTTTCGTCTCTGAGTTCAGCTGTCTCGACCGAACGATGCCAGTATGCAACGCTGTCGTGGCACGTTGTGTTTGGATATGGCCTGGAGCCTTGCGAGTGACTTCTTAGGCGCCCAATCGAATTCTCGTGTGCCTGTAGATGGGTTGAAGGTATCATGGCAGACATCCTCCGTCCCCGATCAAAACCAACCCTTCCGGTTGCCATATCCGTCTCTTCCAATTCATCGTCAAAAAAACGGCTGGCAGCATGCTTCTTCGGGGACTCTGGCCGGGGTGGGAGGCCCAATGGCCCCAAGGACGTCTGCGAAAAGCTCAGGGCTTGGTCCATATTTCCACAGTTATCCTCTGCAATCCTAGATGATGGAGTTTCGTCTTGGTCTGGTCTGCCGCTGGCTTGCACTCCTCCATGCTGGTCAGTTGTCTCGTAAGGATGCTTCCGCTCATCGATCTCCTCGTCAAACATGTCGAAGTAGATGTAAGGAACGTTGCGAGCTGCGATCTCCATTTTCTGTTCCGTCTCAGGCCCGGGTAGTTCTTGGTGTGCCTTTCGAAGAGATTTTTTGATCATACCCTCCAGCTTGTTAAGCTCCTGGAATAATCTCTCTTGAGAAATATTGGTTCTGAAGCTGAGAGCACTAAGAAATCGTCAAATCGAAGAAACCAAAAATCTTGTTCGAACCTAAAATGCTTACATGGTTACCAACTGCAAAGTCATCTGAATAGCCCAGTTTGAATTGAAGATCTTGACCTTGTAGTCTTGAATCTCTTCCTTGTGGATACTCAGGATGAAATAGAAGTTTGTTTTTCTGAGAAGTGTTGCAAGCGAATTGCCTTCCGCGTCGAAATGTACGCTGAGTTTTCTGAGAAGCTGATCGAGACCAGCGATGTTGGACTTGCAGTCTACTAAGGTGTCTCCAATCTGTCCCCATATGTTGTGATAAAAATATAGAAGTGACGGTACGTGTGTCTGGCACTGCCTCACTGTCTTGTCCACGGACACAAGGAGTCCAGACAGCTTTTGGACCTCTGCGCAAGTCTCTGATAGTTTGATGTCCACATTCTTGACCTTTTTGGCCAGTCGAATCAACACAATAGCAGTCTGCAATAACGTCAGCATGCATGAATCGAACAAAAAGCGGGTATTCCTATGGTCTGCCTCTCTTCGCAGACCATTGAACCGAAGGACATGAAGAAACCACTCACGCTTCCAGCAGCTCCTGCTAGTGACGCTGCAGTCGCAGCGATCGATATGGGGTCCATTTCAGATGTAATGAAGACCGAAGAGGCATTTGAAATGAACACTACTCGTGAAAGCTCAGAGTCTGTCAAGATGTCAGAGAAAGACACCATGCTTCTAGAAACGATCAGATATAAAGGATTCTGGAGAACGATGAGCTAATCTAGTGCTGGTATTGCGGCTGTCTGAGAACATTCCAGATCAAGTTTAAGCATATTAGTCGGATTTTGGAATGGGTGGCTGGCAACGTTAACCGTTGGCGCCACTGGGCGCCTCATACCGCTGAGGCTGAAGCAGAAGCTGACAGCGGATTGGGACCACCAAAATACAGGCCTGTCCGATTTGGGACACTTCAGACGTCTAGCACGATTGAACTAGAAGGCTTACTTGGTTTCAGACCCTACGCCAGCACACCAAACGGTTGGATAACAGACTAAGGAAAGGGGATAGGTTTGACATGTCGAGGCCAATCTCTCTTGGTACACCAACCACTCTTAGTCCCTTACTCCTGAGGTTGCTTTAGACTCGAAATAGTCGAACAGAAAGACGATGCTTCCTTTTCCGGAAGGACAACCTTGCTTTTCCCCAGTATACTAGTGTTAGTCGATGCTCAAGTACAACCTCCATATTTTCGACCACAATTCCATTGTTACACCGAAAACAGCCACCACAACCCCTGCAAACGTATAGTTGACCGTTTACTATGCGCATAGCTGAGTTCTTGTCTCTATTGCCCCCTTTCATTCCGGCTCGATCAATTTGTTTCCGTCACCACTAAGGTGGTTCAACGCTCTTCACAGCCACGAAAGAACCCCTGAGGAGCCAAAATAGAGTTCACCCTGGGAAAAGAAGCAGCCACGCCAGATCTCCCGTAGATCTTAGGGGAGAGCGCTAAGCCCTAGGCTCTATGTAGCGCTCGGAAGATTGTTCCAGTCCGCAAGAGGTAGCCTGTAGCATTCTCAGACGAATTTCGCGTTCCCGCACCGGACTCAACAACGTGGTTGGGACACGTGTTGACGGGCACATTCACGAGTTTTCTGTAGCTCTCCCAAATGATCAACATCATTCAATCAACCCCGGGCCGTAAGACGTGTTGTGTGTCGGGATGCAATCCAAGGATTTCTCGAGTATCCTTCCATCATTCTTGGCTTCCAGGTGCTTTAATAAATGATTCTTACGAGTGCATAATGCTCAACGTACCCAGTCATAAATACTCAACCAGCCGAATTTAGCAGTCATGGATACGAAGAAATCTAAACCTCAGATAAGGAACATCATATATTCGGGAAAAGATGGGACTGTAAAGGCTCGAGTGCAATTTAAGCATTGACTCATCCGCTGCATGGCATTCTGCAGCGAACTTTCATACCTTTCTTCAATATCAATGCCAGGAACGTGCTCTGATTTGCGCAGTAGACGTTTTCCATTCTTGGACTCGAATTTCTGCGATTTTGTCGTCGGATTCTTGGCACCTGAGCTTTTATAACCTCGCTTGGTAACGCTCAACAATTTCAATCATTGCCTGGTGATGTTCACCGCTGGTGAGCAGCACCTTCTCGATGAACATGGAAGAAGAAGGTGAGGAACACTAAGAAGGTAACTGGGGTTCCCCATATTTCAAGCTCGGACACAGTGCATCCGTATCCGGTCCAGCCACATAACACGTGACTTACGCCACAGCTCTCACCAGTGAGCGAAGCCCGTGCCACTCCATCTTACATCACCAGCCTCATCAGCCTCGCGGACGTCGCGCGTCAACCAGACCTCGAAGTCTCATCTAGAATCTCATCGTCGCAGAGCGCAATAATGTCCACCAACGCCCCCGAAGCAAACGCAGAGCAGGCTCCGACCGCGCCCAACTCGCAAGAGGCTCCTGCCCCGGGCGCCGCTCCGGCTGGCGGTGCCCCGGCGGCAGCCCCTGCTGCTGCTGTTCCGGAGGCAGTCGCGCCTGGCCCCGAACCGAAGGCGATCACTCGTAAGGACATGTCTCTGCGCGAGTTCCTAACCAAGATGGACGACTACGCTCCCATTGTATGACTCCTCATCTCCCAGACTCAACGACGCATTTGAAGCTAACTACGATGGTCACAGATTCCTGATGCGGTTACAAACTACTACATGACCAAGGCCGGCCTCCCCCCTCCGCCGCAGACCGATCCCCGCCTCGCGCGCCTGCTCGCTTTGGCGACGCAAAAGTTCATCGCAGATATTGCCGCCGACGCGTACCAATACAGCCGCATCCGCGCGTCCAACTCCAACGCCAATAACCCCATGGGCAACCTCGGCGCCGCCGCCGGCTTCCCCATCCCCGGCCAGCCGACAGGCCCCGCTGGCGCAAAAGACCAGGGCCGCGGTGGTCCGTTGGGTATTCAGCGTCCCGGCTACGGTGGCGGCGGTCAAGGAGGTAGCCAGAACCGCACCGTGTTGACGATGGAGGACCTCGGTATGGCCGTGGGCGAGTACGGTGTCAATGTCAAGAGGAGCGAGTTCTACCGGTAGAGGAGTGGGCTTCAGCAAAGGTTTCTTTCCGGACGGGTGTATACATATCAAGGCGTTGGATGGTTTGCTTCGGCGTCGAGGGGCCAGGGAACATGGCAAAATGATTTTACAGTTTCAGCGGGCAAGTCACGCACGACCAAGAAAGAATGATACAATAGAGCCCATTCGTATATGAAGCAGAGGGTCATCATCGGCACATGGCCTGGCATTTTGATGCTACAATGCATCGCTGGTATCTTGACAGTGTTGTACAAATGTCGGTCGTCATTTTCCTCCTCTCGCCAGAACAAACCCGGCTCCTCAGCAAACGTCCTCTTACAATCTGGACCAGATGAAGGGCTTTCTCGTACTAGACAGGCGCGCATTAGTTCCTGCTCAAGTCGTTTGCAATGTATGTGTCACTCACGGCGCGAATTCTCCAAGCTTGTGTCCTACCATATCCTCCGTAATGACCACATCGAGGAAATATCTTCCATTGTAGACCTGGAACTTGAGGCCGACGAAGTTGGGCAGAATAGTGGCCGATCGAGCCTGCGTTCTGATGGGAGGGACCTTCTTGCCAGGTGCTGGGCGGACGATGGCGAGACTGTTCGCATCAAGGTTAGGATCGAGGGATGTTGGCCGAGGGGCATCGCAAAGGGTTCTCTTACGGGACGATGTTCGGTCCTGGAGGCGCAGCTGTCAGTTCACCATTTCCACATCAATGCAAGATGATTGCGACTTACCCTTCCACACCGATCTCTTCAGGAGGGCCAACGTGGGTTGCATTTTGGCGGCTGATGACCCTGTCTTGGGTTGATGGCGCTGCTGTTCTTCGCGATTCAACGCCTTGCTGCTGCGGCGCGCGGGAGGAACTTTCCGAGCTTCGAGAATTTGTCCGTGTCACGTGATGAGTGACCGTCGCGGCACCGTACCGCTGCCGCCCCCAACGGAGACCCACTTCAAGTGCCGTCCCTCGTGCTGCTTGGTTCAACACAAGGGCCTGCAGATTGTCACCGAAACCAAAGTCGAAAGTAACAACAGAAGTCTTAGTCGCTTCACAAGTTCACCTAATGTTCATTGCATTTCCTCCTCATCGCTCAAATGGCCGAGCCACTGCGGGATAGCTGCAGCACACAATGCGCTGAATGGATACCTACCCATCGTTTCAGACGGCCAGAGAACGCTGGACTCGGTCAACTTTGTTTCCTGTCACGAACTGATGAAACGACTCAATCATAGTTTGGACTTCACACAAGGCCCACCCTGCTCCCCTTTGGAATGCGCAAGCCAGCCAGCAGGCTCAAAAAGAGAAAATCGCCTGTGCTGGGAGCTCGCAGTCAGCCCAATATGGCATCTTCCCCTTGGCTCATATCCGTAAACCAACGTCATGGACAGGCAAGAGATCACATTGTCTCCTATTCACCACGAGCCGTCTCCCGACTTCTATATGGATGCCAATTATCTTGCAACCGTGCTAGCATCATCCTCCCGGCCTCGCGGCTCAGTCTGGGCCTCTATGTGCTCCCACTTGATGATCAATGTGGGGAAAGTAGTCAAGCTGGCGATCCCTTAATTCCAGCCCACTATACCACGCGGAGGGAGATTCCCCGGCCATGTGAAACCAGCCCAACTTAATCCCCCCTTTGGACCAACATCAGTCCATCACTCAACTGAATCCTGTCGCCGGGAAACTCTGCCAAACATGTCATCGTCTGCGCCATATTTGCTTTTGTCAGGCCGTCACGGCACTTGGCTTGCTCAAATTTGCTCAAGTGCCGCTGCCGTCACTCCAACAAATTGCTCCGACGCCAGATATATGTACTCAGATGGTTACGCAGACAGACTGCATGTAATCTAACCCCGACGTGACTAGACCACCACGACCCGAGCAGCCGCAATCCTCGGCATTCTTGGCACCAATAACCACAACGTGACAAACCAGGAATGATGCAAGGTCCAGAGGGAAAAGCGCCCTAGGAGGTCCAGGTCCCGAGATCTGCTCTTCCCTGCCGGGACTACCCCACACAGCACATCACCCATGCCAAGCAAGCTTAGCCGGAGGAGGCTCTCTCTCTCGTCTCTATGTTACAGGCACACTAGCCAGGTTCCCAAATTTTCCTGCAAATCGCGTGCCTTTTTGGCTCTATACATGGGACGGAGCAAGGGACTCCGTCACGATGGGCCCTGGACGAAGGCAGCCAGCCCCCAAAGTTCGAACCACACCCCCTAAAACTGTAAACGAGACGAAAAAGAAGAGGGGAACGATGGGCCACGAGGGCAGCCGAGTATAAAGCCCACGGCGCCTCTGGGCTGATCTGGGGTGGTGGTCTTGGCTTTCTGGACCTCATCCGACCTTTACCTTCTTTTCTTAGTCTGACCCCAATTTTTTTGAGCTTCTTCCAATTTCCATTCTTTCTTCGACAACATGAAGTTTTCCAACTTGGCTCTCGGAGCTGCGTCCGTCGCGTCGGTCCTGGCGGCCCCCGTCGACGGCTCTGCCAAGACGAAGCGTGCCGGCAAATTCACCTTCACCGGTGTCAACGAGTCCGGTGGTGAGTTCGGCCAAGCCAACCTGCCTGGACAGCTGGGCAAGGACTACACATGGCCCAACAAGACGGCTATTGATGTGAGTATTTGTGGTCAAGGGGGTAAGGCAGGAGACTGACTGAGTAAGACCCTGAGGGCGGCTGGCCTCAACACCTTCCGTATTGGAACTATGATGTAAGTTCAAAAGATGGGATGTGAAGTTCTTTTCCATTGATTTGTTACAGGGAGCGCATCATTCCTGACAAGTTGACGGGCACCATCAACGAGACCTATTTCTCTGGTCTTGAGGACGTAAGTGTTGCTTGTTGTCATTCAAACACCAGCGTAAGCTAACCCAGCCATAGCTTGTCAAGGACGTTACCTCGAAGTGAGCACAGGAAAGACTCTCGACCCAATCACAGCAAACTGACAATTATAGGGGCTCCTATGCCGTCATCGATCCCCACAACTACGGCCGCTACTACGGCAACATCATCACCAGCAGCGCCGACTTTGGAGCCTGGTGGAAGACCGTTGCCGCTCGTTTCAAGGACAACGAGAAGGTCATCTTCGACACCAACAACGAGTACCACGACATGGACAACACGCTGGTCCACGACCTGAACCAGGCCGCCATCACCAACATCCGTGCTGCGGGTGCCACGACCCAGAACATCTGGATCGAGGGTAACTCGTACTCTGGTGCCTGGCACTGGATCGAGAGCGGCTCCGGCGACGCTCTCAAGAACCTGACTGATCCTTCTGATGCCACTGGCAAGAAGCTCTTTTACGAGATGCACCAGTACCTCGACACGGACGGCTCCGGCACCAACGAGGCCTGCGTCAGCACCACCATCGGTGCTGAGCGTCTCGCCGTTGCTACCAAGTGGCTCAAGGACAACAACAAGCAGGGTGTTCTCGGCGAGATTGGCGCTGGTGCCAACGACCAGTGTGTCACTGCCGTCAAGGGTGCCATCCAGCACCTTTCGGACAACTCGGACGTCTGGAAGGGCGCTCTCTGTAAGTTTCCAACCTTCTGACCTAGTCTTCTCACGATTCTAACCTTATGAAGGGTGGGCTGCCGGCCCTTGGTGGGCTGACTACATGTACTCTATGGAGCCTACAACTGGTAAGGCTTTCGTCACATACCTCCCGGTTCTCAAGACATTTGCTTGAGACCGATCGCGATATTCGGATGTGGGGCCGTATTCGGCCGGCAGAGAGAGGGGCCGTACCCCGTGCCCCGTGCGTACGATATGTATGGTTTAGATGTATATCTACCATAGAAGCGCATAAGGTACTGGGCGCGTTCCCTCTGAATCAGTTTCAGTGGTAGATATTTTCTCAAGAGGGGGCAAACCCCGTGTACATATCTGGAATATGAAGGCATCTTGCCATTGAAGTGCAACCACTTTGCCAACATGACACACGATTGAAGGGACCAACCAACGCCAAAGCAGGCAGTTGCATGCATGACCAAATTTCAGCTGTAAAATGAGGCACGGTGGAAGCTGTCTTGAACAGGCAGGTGGGTGGGTATCTGACAGGATTCCCCACGCTGCAATCAATGAACGTGTCCTCATCGCGTCCCTGAACTTTGGATCCTGGGTGTCGCCTCACCAACATGGCAGACTGAGAACCGCGGTACAGGGACCGGAGTTTTGAAGATGGGGGTGTGGCGTTGGTTCATCGGCCAGACGGACGATTCAAGCCACCGAGACACATGTCACGGAGACAGATGGTAGGTACCCAACGGAGATTCTAGCCTAGCTCGCATGGCCCAAAGTTTGGCGTCTTTAGAGATCCATGGTTTGTTGCATCGAATGCGCCTGCGGTTGACATAGTGTATTTCTCCGTTTGTGTAGGTAGGCAACCAACATACCGCGCAAGAGAGGGGACATGAGCCTCACTGCAACCCCTGCAGCTAGGCACCTTAGGTATTGGATGTGACCTGAAGAAAGACGATGGTAGAAGGCTACAGAATCCCAAGGGCAGCGCTGAAAATTGTGCAATTCGCAATTCGCCATCCCGCTGGACCCCGAACCGAACCTAGCTGGGCATAGGTACCCTGAGCGGCCTCTCACCTCTGCAACCAAGCGCAAGCCGCGAATCGGACCGCGCTAAAAAAGCAGCCGGCCAGCAAGGCTCTCCACTAAAGCACCTCTCCACCTCCACCTAACCCAGCCGTTTCGACCACCTCACCCTCAGGGCTCTCTCTGCTGCCAGTACAAAAACTCGCAACCTCCACGTTCGCGCCTCTCGCACCCGACCTCATCCAACCAGCCACCCTCCTCCGTCTCAATACATCAACCCTCGTTGCATCAGCAGAGGTCTCGGTTCAACTTCGTCCCTTTCGTCAATCCCAGGAGTCAATCGTCAATACCGCCAAAATGGTCAGCCCTCAGATGTGCGTTTGCCTGTCCCCTCCAAGGCCTCCCGCGCCGCGTCGCATGCAGACCCTGCGCGAAGGCAAAAGAAGCCATCACGGGATGCCAAAGCTAACAGTGCCACAGTACCAACCTGATCATCATGCTCGGCATGGTCCAGGTCTCGCGCAAGGTCCCCTTTGATGACCCGAACGTCCTGAACATGTGCCGCGCCGGCTACATTGCCAGCAACGTCCTGATCGCCATCCTGTACCTCTACGTTCAGGCCCAGATCAACAAGAAGAAGGGTTCGTTGCCTCTGTTTGCCGATGCCACTCCACACACACCACTGACATAGTCCCTTGACAGACCTCACCACCCTCAAGTACGTCGAGCCCGCCCCCATGGGCTCCTCCGAGGAGGGCAAGCTCGTCACCACCACCATCCACGCCTACGACTCGACCCAGCTCCGCCAGGCCTTCCGCTCCCAGGCCATGGGCATCGCCATGATGGCCTTCATGCACATCTACATGAAGTACACCAACCCCCTCCTTATCCAGTCCATCATCCCCCTCAAGTCCGCCCTCGAGAGCAACCTCGTCAAGATCCACGTCTTCGGCCAGCCCGCCTCCGGCGACCTCAAGCGTCCCTTCAAGGCCCCCGCCGGCATCATGCAGGGTCTGCAGTCCGGCCCCGCCCAGAGCGACAAGAAGGCCGTCGAGGCCGCCGAGCGTTCCGGCCGTGGTGGTGCCAAGGAGGAGTAAACTGGTTACTACAAGCGGAGGGGGAAAACTGTGTGTGTTGGGATACAGGGTACTTTTTGCGTTGGCGCAATGCGCTTGCTTTCGCCTGTTGCTGGGAATAGAGCCGCAAAACAGCTCACGGCATCCGTGTAGATGATAGTCCGAGATACTGCACATTAATCGCAACAATCCGTTGACCAACCCTTCCTTTCCCTTTCATCCTGCCGTATCTACCCAGTAGTTTCTTTAGCGCATGTGGGTGGCAACCGCAGCTGCCGTCGGTGAGCTCGGTCAGCGCGGAAACGGCACGTGCGTTCGCGCTTCAATTGGTGACATAATCGACCCGGAGAACTTGCCCCTCCAAGATTCACGTTTCCCATCTTCAACACCCGCGTCTCACCACATTGTCGCACAGCAGAAGGCCCCAGATCCCCGAACCAAGTTCCTCACATTCTACCACCAAAAATGGAGCGACCCAAGACTCCTCCGGGAAATCCAAGGCCCGCCGTGCCTGCCGGAACACCCCCAACGCCAGCTGCAACTCGTCGCATGGTGCGCCGCCCTCTTACACCAATCTCCATCGTCATTGTTGCCGCAAATATCACTAACTCCCAAACCAGGAAGAATCCCGTCTGAAATCAAAAGCCCTCCGCGACCGCCGTGAAGTCGAAGCACCCTCCGCCCCGGTCCCCACGACCTTGTCGGGCTTCATCGCAACAGACACAGTCCACATCACCAAGGCCGGCGCAGCAGCAGGCACCGGCGCCGGCGCGGGAACAAAACGCCCACACTCGTCCATCTCGACGACGACGGCGCCCGAGACGAATCGCGATGCCCGCGATGCCCGCGACACCACCGCCCTGCGCCCGGCGCGCAACTTTGCCAAGTTCGTCGATTACAACATGTCCGCCATGACGGACACCAAAGGCGGTTTCCTCACGGCCGAGGACGACCCGCACAACACCGCCCTCGTCCCCAAGGTCAAACCGGGCGGCCCGCCGACAGAGGAGAAGCCAAAGGGCATGTCGAGCCAGGAATGGGAGCGTCTGCAGCTGCTCCGGAAGCTGCGCAGGCAAAAGGCCGGGCCGTTCGAGCCCGGGCTGAGCGTCCTCGCCGACGAGGCCACGCGGAAAAAGTGCCGCGAGTGCTCCTCGATCGAGATCGACTGGGTGTGGGACGAGGTGTTTGGGATACAGGTCTGCCACGCCTGCAAGGAGTCCATCCCGGACAAGTACTCCCTCCTCACCAAGACGGAGTGCAAGGAGGACTACCTCCTGACGGATGAGGAGCTCAAGGACGCGGACCTGCTGCCGCACTTGTCAAGGCCGAACCCGCACAAGTCGCACTGGCACGACATGATGCTGTTTCTGCGCTTCCAGGTGGAAGAGTACGCCTTCAATACGAAGTGGGGGTCGGCGGAGAAGCTGGACGCCGAGTTCGAGAAGCGGGAGGCGGACAAGAAGCGGCGGAAAGAGGCGAAGTTCCGGGACAAGCTGAATGACTTGAAGAGGAAAACGAGGACGGAGGCCATCCGGCGACAGCAAGCCACGCAAGCAGCCGGCGCTGGACCGAGGAAGTTTGGCGATTCCATTGGTGGCGGTAAACACGTTCACGAATGGGGACGGGCGGTTGAGAACGAGGACGGGATGACGGTGAAGAAATGCAACGGCTGCGGGATGGAGGTTGAGGAGCTAGAGTTCTAGCACCTTCCCTTTGGCTCGCAAGTCTTTGATTTCTCCGTAACAGCCAGTTTTCTCGAAGCCACAAAATACCCAGTCAATCATCTTCTCATTTATGGTAATTATATGTACGTCCCAACGATCAACATAAAAAAAAAAAGGTCACGACAGGCATAGCGGAGGGTATCGACAGTTATAATGAACAATGCCCCAGTACAATATTACAACAGGACGGCTGGCACCAGTCACGCCCGTATCCTGTCCCCGTGCTTCTCAAAGGCACTCCAGCCCACTGCCGGCCGCCCAGAGCTCACTCGTTTCCTCATGCTAAACGTCCTCGTTCCCAATCATGCCATTCGTCTGTCTTTCTTGCCAGGGTCTTGCATCAGAAGTCAAGCTCCGAGAGCATCCGCATCCGCATCCGACCCAAAGATAACGACGCCATTCAACGGACGCTATGCTGCTGTATATTTTTCTCCGTTTCCTCGTACACGCCGTCTACCGTGCAAACACCTTCACAACACCATCGCCGCCACCGCTGACAACCCACTTGCCGTCCTGGCTCCAGACGACGGAGCAAACGCCCTCGCCGCGCATGATGCGGTGGCTCGTAATCTCCTGCGTGCAGGATCGCTTCTCAAGACTCCAGAACCGCAGGGAGGCGTCGTGGCCGGCGCTGATGAGCTCACGGCCATCTGGACTGAGAGAAAGGCTCGAGATCGATGCAGGGTGAGCGAGCATGTTGTACGTACATTGCCCTGACTTCGTTAGCAAGTAGCCTTCTTCACAGGATCCGCCAGGACTTACCGCTGTTTGCATCAAAGAATCGCACGAACCGATCTTCGTGTCCAGAGATGATGACGCCCTCGACGCCAGATCCCGCCATCGACCTGCCGCCTCCCGTAGGTCCGCCACCAGCACCACTGTCCTCTTCAGACATGCCGCTCTGGGGCTGCTCCAGGCCGACAGTGGTTGCCACAACAGCATTGACGCTCGTGTTGATCGTTCCGTCGTACGTCTCCAAGCTATCCATGGTTCCCGTCTGTTCACCTGACCTGGTGTCGTAAACAAGAATTGCCGCGTCAGAGTAAGAAACGACGAAAGATTCGCCATTGGGGCCAAGGGGTGTGATGCAAGTCGGGGTACCCGTGGCTCCCTCGGGTCTCTTGATGTTGTGTACCATAGTGTGGTTAAATGGGGAGTTGGTAGCCATGTTGGGCTGCGGAGTGCTCGAGAAAGCGCTGCCAGAGCTCATAGAATTGCCGCGAACACGACCTCTGCTACCCGTAGGCCCAGCCCTGTTCGTGCCTGGCTGAGGACTAGTCAGCTGAGGCGGTGCGCTGACCGCCCAGAGACGGACAGTTCCATCCGCACCTCCAGACACCAGCATGATGCGATCAGGACTACCGTATTGGTTGTTCTGTCCAAAGACTGAGCCTAGAGTCGTAGGCAACACGCACAAGGCCCATACGGCATCAGTGTGTCCCTCGAGAGTCGCCTTCGGGTCGACCCTGCCACGCTCCCAGACTCTGATGGTGGCGTCTTGGCCGCCAGAGAAGATCCAGCCATCACCTTGGGCGCGCCCGCCAGTCGAGAAGTTGGGGGATGGAGACCAGGATGTCAGACAGAGGACCGCTCCATTGTGACCACGGTGAGAGAAGTTGGCTGTTACATCAAGGTCAGAGGCGGCGTTGGTTTGGCCATGGCCGTCGACGCGGGGGATGTGGAAACGCTTGATCATGCCGTCGTCGCCTGCGGTGCAGATTTCAGGCTCACCAGGACTGCCGCCGCCGGAGAAGATGACCGTTCGCACGGTGTCGAGATGGCCTCGCAGACCGAAACGCAGCTTAAAGTTGCCCGTTCCTGCCTTCTGAGCGGCTGCGTTCAACGAAAGTTCGTGATCGGCACTGCGCCTCCTTGACATAGAGCCTTTGCGGCGATGAGATGCTGGCCCGCGGTTAGGCGACTTGGGAAGGTTATCTGCCGTAGGAAAAGCGTCCGTATCAGGTCGGTTGGTCAGTTGCTGTAGGGGTTGCGATGAATTTGACTCGGGGAACGCGCCCTCGGGGAACTCCCATCCGTCGGTCTCAGGCGCCGGTCGGCTACTTTGCTGAGGCTCGTCTGTTGGTTCGACACTATTGACCGACTCAACGGCGTGGCTAGGCCGCTGCTGCAGGTTGTCGTCCAGCATACGGGCAGTCACGGACATGGGCTGCGGCCACTCGTTTCCGGCTGCGTACATGACGGGAGGAGCAGGCTCGGGGTTCGGAGGCGGCATTTGTTGCGGCGGCTGTTCGGCCGGCCTCATGGGGAGGCTCGTCGGCTGGCTTCTTTGCATAGGGGGCGCGTGATTAGGGGCGGGGGGTGGTCGATTGGCCTCGCGGACATGGTTCTGCGGCACGAGGGAAGAAGAAGCGAATGGGAAGGGCGGCTCCTGGAAGGGCTTGCCACCGGGAACACCAAAAGGCTCGCCCTCACGAAGATCTTCAAGAAGCGGCAGCGGCGGCGATTCGCGAGGAGGCAAAGGGTTGGCTGGAGTGATCATCAGGTAGGTGAATTCTGCTTGGCACTGATCCAGGAACGACTTGAGGTCGGCGCGCTGCGACTCGTCATCGCCCTTCTCGACATCGATTTCGTTGCCGTCGGCGTTGGTGGCCTTCTTGTTCGAGGCTGCGAGCACCTGTAAGCAAGTCTTTGATCCATATTGCGCATCCCGAACTCACGTCGAAGCTTCTCCTGGATCATGGCGGCGCGATCCTTCTCGGCCTTTGCAGCTTCCTCGGCTTTGGATCCTCCCTTGAGCTGCGCGGACTGATCCTTGACCTTCTTCTCGAGAATTGTGACGTATTTCTTGAGGGCCTTCTGGGTGGCATCAGCCCGTCGTGCCTGGCCTTCGAGGGCGGCTATCCTGGCCTTCATCTCCTGGCGCTCAATCTCCCACGCATTCCTGTCGCGTTCGTGACGGTGCCATTCGGTTTGGAGGAAGCGCATGACGCCTGTTTGAGGGTTGTGGTCAGCGGACGCATGCTCTCAACTCAGTGCCTAGGTAGGTCGGCGATGATAACGTACCCTGTAGCGTATACTCGGTCGCATGAGGCTGGCCAGAGCCGTTGCCCTGCATGGCGCCGCCCATCTCGTTTCCCCCAGGCCCCATGCCGTTTCCCATGTTCGTCCCCATGCCCGAGACCACCTGCCAGCTCATACGCGCGCAAGGGAAACTGGTCCCCAGCTAGCAGCTCAGCACTGCCGGCAGACGTCGAGGTGGAAGGGTGTTTGATGGGTGTGGGTGATGATGGAGCTCGATCGAGGTCCTTCTTTGCTGGGCTCCCGCTGTTGCGGCCGCGCCTTTGATGTGCAAAGAAATAGAGACAGAGAAAGTGGTGATGTGTTGTCTATGGCATCTGCCGGGCGGGAAATGAACGGCGGCAACTGGTCGGGGTGTCGATGCTTGCGTAGGCTCGGTCGGCCGTCGTCGTCGTTCGTTCCTTCGTGTCGGCGTGTCGTCGTTGGCGAGTTCGTCAATTCCAAACCCCCCAAACCTGGCAGGATGGATGGTGGTTGAGAACCTGAGGTGGGTGTGGTGGCAGTCGAGTCGGAGCTGCGGCCCCCTGGTCAATTGGAGCTTTCCGCTGTCCTGATCCTGTCGCGTTGGTCAGGTCCAGTAGGAAGTATCAAGGTACCACCTCAGTCACCTAGTCAGTGGAGGGCTCTTGACACTGAACACTCTGCTCCACGCAATTGGCCCGGTGCTGTTGGGGGGTTCTCAGGATCGTGGCAGACGTCGTGGGATCGCAGCTGCTCGCTTCAGATCGAGTCGAACGAAGAAAGCACACGGCCAAGGAAGAGGTCACACCAAGGAGAAAGCTATGCGCGGGAATGGGTGGCCGCAGAGATTTCGTCGATATGTCGCGTTTTGGTGGCTTTTTCGCAGCGCAGACAGACACAAGCAAGAGAGACAGGCAGGCAGGGCTGAGGTACAGTTCCTAGGTAGGTGGTCACTCCCGTCCAAAGTCAGGTCAGCGCTGTCACGCTGTACAACTGCACTGCACTGGCTGCCCTGCACTGCACTGTCCGTTTGTGACTGAGCTCCCCCAACCTGCGTTGCCGCCAATTTTTGGCCCAATCAGACGGAATTTGCACAACACTCACACCCTCAGGCATCAACACCAGCAAGGTTCCACCCTCTATTCAGGGGCACAGGCCACATTGCCTGAAGATTAGCTAATGCGCCTCCTTTATCTCTTATCGCGGCATTTGTGCAGCGTTGCATATCTAACCTGCAGTACCTAGGTAGGTAGGTGGATATTGTGCAGACCGTTGTGCATCATCCAAGAACCCAAACAGCCACAACACAAGGCACCGAGTAAGCTTCGCACTTGTTCATATCAACTGAAATCGTTCCTATCTAAGACGGCTATCCCCCCTGAATGGAACATCCAAGCCCAAGAATAGTCATAGGCTGGCGTCCAAACACACCCCCCCTAATCTACACCCAAGCCATCTGACGACACTTATTACAACTAAGGGAAAAAAGAGAAAAAAAAAGGAAAATTGGACTTTTATCCGCCCGGCCAGAGATCGATCAAAGCCCAAGCGACTCCGTTCGCATGCCCATATCACGCCGCCCGACGAAACGCAACTCAATGAAACCAACCCCATTCTCCAAAGCCAAGCAGGGAAACGCGGCCACGAATGCACTCACTGCCCGACTGCCCTGCTTCTGGTATCATGTCTGCCGCCATCCCAAGCCCTATCTCCCCAACAATGTCGGCCCCGCATAGCAGCGAAGCCATCCTGCAGTGTATGATGTCGAAATGTCCTATGTACTTGATATCGTCATGTCGTCAAAGGCTCAATGCCAGAAATATGTCATCCTCCATCCCTTCAAGCGTAGTGAGGCTCGTCTTGGCAAGCGTCCATGACGCGCTTGGCGTTGTTGATGATCTGCGACAGGTTCTTGAGCACCGGGTCGTTGCCGGCACTGCTGCTGATGCGAACGAAGAGCTGCTCCACACGAGCCACCAGCATACCCATAATCTTAGGTGTAACTGCGCGGGCATCCTCATCCTGGATAATTGTTAGCATTCGCGAGACTAGAAAGGACCGTGGGTGGATGCTTACCATGTTGCCAAGAGATACCTGCAGGCTGTGAACAACCATCTCGAGCCAGGCAATTCTCTCACGAGTGCATGACTCAAGGTTCAAGCTGACGGTGGCAGTCACCGTCAAGAGAACCAAGTGAGGCAAGTTGCGGACAAACTCGGGACTATACTTCGACATGTACTTCTCAAAAACCTCCTGCTCGCGGCCAGACTGCATCCAGCGGACAACAGCCTCCTCAGCTCTGCCTTCCTTCATTGACTGGTTGACAACAGCAATGCGAGCCTGCAGGTCCGCGTCGTATCCAGATTCAGGCTTCGCAACAGTCAAGGCCTGCGAGTGACCGTAGCCCATGGACTGGTGCGAGGCGCGGTCGGGGCTTTGGACGTTGCTGTAGACCTGGCTTTGAGCTTGGCTATGAGCTTGGCTGTGGGCCTGGCTTGGAACCTGGCTAACGACAGATGGAGCGTACGAGGGAGCGGCGTGGTGATGGGGCACCTGCGCCTGCTGCTGGGCTTGCTGCTGCTGGGCCTGCTGTTGCTGTTGCTGTTGCTGCTGGGCCTGGGCGCGAATGATCTGCTGCTGAGATACGATGTGCTGCTGGAGCTTGACAAACTCGTTCTGGTACTGTTCCTGAGTAGCCGCCATGCTGGAGACCGTGCCCATGAGCTGAGTGACCACATTGGTGAGCTGGTCAATCTTCTTAGTCTCGGCAAGGCGCTGGGCGTTGATGGCCTCCATCTCGGTGCGGTGCTGCTTCTGAAGCTCGCCAGCGACGCGCTGGCAAGCCTGGACAGCCATGTTGGTGAAAGACGGGCCGAGGCGGGCGGTCAACGTGTTGACAACCTCCTGCTGAACATTGGCTGCGACGGTCGATCCGACTCTGTCAGAGATGGCCTTCACAAAGTCGCCGTTCTGCAGCGCGTGCTGGGTCGCGGAAGGAAGGGCCTTGTGAATCTCCTTCTGAATAGAGTGGGAGACCTGAGCATTCATGCTCTTAGAAAATTGGTCAGATACCGCCTTGGAGGCGACATCGGAAATGGCAGGAATGACGGCAGTGCTGAACTGCTCGTTGATGAGAGCGTGGAGCACTTTCTGGGTGTTCTCGTTCAGGACGTCAGACACCATGTTGAGGAGTTGACTCTGGCGCTCAGTGAAGTCGGCTTCGCGAGCACGAAGACCATCCTCAATGCGGCTGTGCAGGGTCTTGAAGGACGTGTTGAGAAGACCATTGAGGCTGTTCTGCAGACGAGACTCCATGCTGCTGATTGCAGATTCAACCGACTCTTGCGTGATGGCGTTGGAAGATTGCTGCTGCTTGTCCTTCGAGTTGTTGTTGGAAGAACCGACGCGAGGAGATCCGTTGGATTGCGGGTCTGTAGAGGCGGCAGCAGCAGCAGCAGCTGCGGCGGCGGCAGCGGCCTTCTTCTTACGGCTCTTGCGTTCCTGCTTCTCTTCCTTCACAGGAGGGACAGGAGCCGGCGTCTCCTCGTCCTTGGCCTCGGCCTTCGCGATCTTGACTGGGGTGACGGATTCGGGGCCGCGGCGGGGGGTACCATCATCCTGGGAAGGCGTGGTCTGGAGCAGAGATTCCTTGGCAATGTTACGGGCCGAAGGATGGCCTCCGTCGTTGTTCTGGTGGGAAGGCTCGGCGGGCTGAGCAGCAGGAGGCTTAAGCTTGGAGATGGTGACAACACCAGCTTCAACAGCATCGACGGGAGCCAGGACCTTGTTGTCTTTGGACCATCCGAGTTCAGCCTGCTTGATGAGAAGGCAGGCAACACCCTTGGAGTGCATGGCGTAGAGCTCGAAAAGGGTCGGCTCGTCGGTCTCTTGGCTCATGGCAGGGTTGCACAAAATGTCGAGACTGCGAAGAATGCCCCGGTTCGCAAACGAGTACTCACGCACGCCACTAATAACAGCAGTAGAGTCGGGTTGCGGGATGGAGGCATCCTGGGCCACTAGGCGCTGAATGTACTCAACCTGCGACACGCTCTTGAGGTTGTACTTAGGAGCCGAAAGATGCGCAAAGTAGATCGAGTTGCGGGTCGGGTGGCCGATGACCAGCATGCCAGTGGGAGGGTGGTACATGACACTGCAGACAGCGTCTGACTCCTTGCTGTGCGGCAGGTTGAACTCCTGGACCGGCTTGCCGAGAGCAAGATCCCAGAGCTGCAGGGTGTGGTTCTGCTTCATGCCGATGATCATGTAGCGCAGGGCGCAACGCTTCTGGTAGGGGCGGAGCTTATCGACCAAGAGAACCGAGGTAGGCCATGCCTTCTCACCCTCAGGAGTGCTAGTCAGAGTCATGAGAGGCTCCTTGATCTCGAGCGAGGTATGCGCGGGCAAGGGCCAACGCGCGTCGCTACCCTCCTCGGCGGCAGTGAGGTCGCGAACGTCCCAGAACTTGACGCGGCCAGACTTGTCAAGAGACACTATCACGCTGTCATCCTGACTGAACGTGAAGTCTTTACCGGCCTTACCGGTATTGATCTTCAACGAGCATTGCTTGGCCAGCTTCTCTGTGTCGACGACGCGGTCATGGCCAGGCTTGAAGAGATTGTTCTGCATGATGTAGGTGGGCCAGATGATGTTGATCGACTTGCCGCGGCCAACAGCGAAGAACTCAGGGTGGATGGTCGAGGTGCGGGCGCGGGTCTTGAGGACACCACCAGGGGCATCACCACCTTCGTGGGAAGCCATGGGGGGAAGAGCAAAGCCGTACTGCTCGGGGTGGGCGTCTTCAATGTGGTCCTTCTCGCCACTCTTGATCTGAACCCAGTAGACCGTGCCGCTAATGCCAGTACCGATGATGGCCTCGCGGTGAGTGCCACTGTGGTCGGCGGGCGTAACCGACATGGCGACGTTGAAGATGCGATCCTTGGTGTCGGTAAAGATCTTTGCATCCTTGCCATCGTCCTGTCGGATGACACGGAGACCTCCGGCCTTGGACATACCGTAGGCCATGTAGCTCTCCGTCGCGGTGTACAGGTTGCGATCGATCTGGTCGAATTCCTTCTTGAGACGAGCAATGTCCATGATGGCCTCGTCGCGGAACTGGGGACGGGGCTCGGTGGCACCATCCTGCAGGCCAATTGAGATCCAAGGCTTCATGGGGAAGTTGAAGACCTTGACGGGCGAGGGAGTTTCCTCCTCAATCACCACAATCTCATCCTGGTCGGCGCTCTCCCAGCTGTCGGCGACGGCGTGCGCAGCAGCCTCCTCGACAATCTCGCGAACCTCTTCGGCGACCTCGGCAGAGACGACCTTCTCGAGGAGATGTCTGTTCTCCTCGCGGTCCAGCTCCTTCTTGATGGCCTGGGCAGCATGGTGGGCGCTCGCCTCGAACTCTCTCTCAGTCCGGGCGGCGTCCATGTCTTCCAGATCCTGCAGGTACTCGGGCCGCGACTGCTCTTCCTCAGCGCGGGCCAGAGCCTGCTGAGCCTCGAAATCCGCCTGCTCGGCGATGTCGTGAACAGCTTCCGACACGGTCTCTTTATTCTTCTCCGCGGCGGGAATGCTTGCAAACGAGGCAGTTGAGCCGGGGGTTGGGTTAGCAAGTTTATCGGCGGGGGAAGAACCGTGGCCAAGGTTGTGGCGGGCACGCTCGGGGGAGGCGAGAGGGCTGCGCTCGTTGTTGATACGCTTGGATTCGCTTCCGTGATGAGAGCTCGGAGAGTCGTGGGTCTTTTTCAGGATCTGGGAAGCCGGGCCTGCAGGTGACTGGCCAGCAGAATGAGGTGGGGCGATACCCGAGATGGAACCAGACTTGGGGGTGCGGTTCTGTGGCGAAGTGATGTGAGGCTCATCGAAGCTGCTGCTGGCATTGTTGTAGCCATATTGCTGCTGCTGGTGTTGAGGCTGCTGCTGCTGCTGCGAGTGAACAGGGGGCAGATTGGCCTCCTGCGTCGAAGGATAGGAATAGGTGCTGAAGTTGCCACTGGATTGGGCGTAGGTGTTGGGGTCGTATTCGAAGGAGGAATTTGAGGGCAGGTGCGACAGGCTGGGGGGAGCTTGTCCAGCCTCGGCGAGGACTCTCTGGAGAATGTTTTCACCACCCTGAGGCAGAGGAGAACGAGTCGACTCGATCAAGAGCATGTCGTTCTGGCTAGGCTTTGGGCGGTTCAGCAGATTCAGCAGGTAGGCGCGGGTGTCATCGGGGGGCGATGCGGCGGCGCCGAAGTTCGCGAAGGAGCCGTTCTGGGAAGGCTCCGGTCGCGACTCTTCGCCATCGTGTGCTCCTTTCATCAGAGCGGCGAGCAGACCGGTCGGGTCGGCGGGGGCGCGAGCCGGTGCAACGATCTGGGTCTGGATGGACGAAGGCATCGTCTGCTGTTGCAGCTGCTGGTGGTGCTGCTGAGGCGACTGCTGGTACTGATCCGGCTGATGCTGGTGCTGGATCTGCTGAGACTGCTGGGAAGACTGCGAGGCATGCTGCTGATGCTGCTGGTAGCTCGGAGGGTCCTGGCGAGGCTGAGGCTGCGACTGCGACTGTGACTGCGAAGCTTGGCCACCACCGCCGGCACCACTGAACTTGAGCAAGTTCAACAAGTTGGTGGTGCGATCGCCGTTTGAAGGCGCGCTGCCTCCGGGGGGCGTCGGGGCCGGGGGCATGGGCGACACCATGACGGCGTCTGGGGCGCGGAGGGGAGGGAAGGGATTATTCGACGAGGGAAACGAAGGACAATTGACGCGGTGACCCTTCCGTCGTGACGCTGAATTGATGGTGGTTGATTGGAGATGTAGAGAGGGTTGAAGGGGATGGAGGAAAGGAAGGCGAAAAAGAGGATCTGAAAATAATTTTGGGACGGGATCGATGACTTGGGAGGCTGGAATCTCAGCCCAACCTAACACAACCCTGTAGCGCCAGCGAAGGTGGTGCAGGGGGGTGACGTGGTTGAATTGAATGGGAAAGACCTGCCGCAGGTGCAGGTTGCCCAGGTCAGTGTCAGTCGGTGTCGGTGTCGGATAGGTGCGTGTGGTGGTGCGGAGGGAAGGAAGGGCCGATGGGGAGGGAGCACATCAGGGCAGCAGCTTCCACGGGGTTTAGCTTTGGCAGTGGACGGCAGCTTTGGCGTCCACGGGTGTGGATTGGCGCGTCCGCGTGCTGAAGAGAGGGCCGTTCAGTGGGTGGTGCAGCACTGGTGCGGATTAGGTTGGGGGGGAAGCGATGGGAGGAGGTTCCTGGACCAAGCTCAGGCACGCTGGGGGGGTGCTGCTTCTGCTGCTGCTGAAGCTGCTGAAGGTTGATGAAGCTCCTACTCCAGTACGGATTACCTCCCAGTCGCCGGAGAAATGCATAGGTGCCTGGTGATGCCTGGCCATAGCCCATTGGCCCGGGCGCGCCTCAGGTAAGCAACGAGCACCTTCTGTGTTGGTTGGCCAGGGACACTGGACAGTGGACACAGCTTGGAGTGGAGATGATACACCTGCTGGAATCAGAGAGACGTGGACCGTGCGCCTGCTCCAGTTCAAGTGTTCAGTGTCGTGGTGCAGAGCAAGGGCCCCCCCACTTCTTCGAGACTTCCATTTTCTGCCCGCTTGCAGAATCCGAACATCACAGTGTCCAGTGTCCTGGTCGTCGTGTCTGACATAAGCAAGTCTCCGGTGGGCTGGCTACCTGGTGCTGGTGCTGGTCCAAGAACAACCGCAGCGCAGCACAGCACAGCGCAACGCAACCGCACGCAGACAGCCGAGTCCATGAACCCACGTACTTTGCTCCCCTCTGCCTTACATTCCACCAGCTGTTGACGGCGTCGCCACAAGGCAACCGGCCATTGTCTGACACACACACGCAAAGACTTTTTCGCTCTGCCCACGGTTGCGATCGGCCGGCATCCGTGATATTCCCCTCCAGCCTGTCGAAACCCACGAGACTCCGTTCGGCACGATACCGCAAACCACGGCACGAGGACAAGGGCGCAGTCCCTTTGCCATTCGGACGTCACTCACACATCCTCCTCATCGAGAGCTTGCGCCCTACGGAGTCGCCGCTCCCCCGTCCCGTCCTGCCCTGAGGATTCCCGGCCGGAGAAACCCAGCGAAGCAATCCCGTCAAGGGACCACAACCCACCCTGTTCTACGTCACCACCTCAACCCTCCAACATGTTCTGCTTGCGAAGGTAAACTATCCATACCTACCCAGTCGCAAAGTCACGTTTGCTAACAGCGCAATCCAGCTGGCTCCCGCTCCTCTTCATCCCGACCAACGCCTCTCCCGCCTTCATCTTCCTCTTCTTCATCTGCACCTACTTCCTCAACCGACCCTGCGTCTACTGCAGCTTCCTGCTTCTCATCCTCTTCCTCACCTCGTGTAACTGGTCCGACCGTTGCTTCTTCGACTTCAGCAGCAACTGGTTCCAACCCCGCCCACCGACCTCCCTCTCCACCTCCCCGATACCCGACATCGATCCGAACGCGAGCTTCAATGCCACTGTCGTCGAGGTGATCAACTCGACTGCCAGCGCCCTGGCCGGTGCTGCTGCCGAAGAGCTGGCACGTCAAAGACAGGAGTGGACCGGCTTGGGCATCGAGTGGCTGCGCAGTCTCCTGGGACGGAGGGAATGGCGGGTTGAGTGTCTAGACATCAACATCCGACTGTAAGCGTGAGAACAGCAAGAGGAGGAGAGTGCGTGCAAAGACTTATGAGTTTCGATGAGTTCGCGCGTTTGAGGGCAATGGCACGGCCGTAATGGGGCGGCCTAAAACAAATGTGCAATACCAGGCGGGTTTCGGATGCATACTACGGCGTTGTCATGGTGCGTGTATTCTTTTTGTACTGGATAGAGCAGAGTGAAAGACATGCTCGGGGATGTTTCCTCGGTATCGCTGTCGAGCCAGTGTTATCATCGTTTGAGTACACTTATGGCTCGAATGTACAAACAACAGGTCTTTGGATGATTGGCCGAGTACGGCTCGTATGGGCGAGTCCACGGGCAGCTGAAAGGGCTTTCTCGCAAATACAAGCAGGTTTTATACTATACCCCATATGCTTGATGTTTGAGTGGTCCTGCTCTCGCCGCGTGCAATGATTGTGACTGCTTACCGCATCAGACCTTCTGACCGCGCGCCTCCCGACTCTACGACTTTTAAAGGGTTGACGCCGGTAGTACAAACGAGTTTGGTCTTCATACTAGTCTTCATACTGCCTTCCTCTCGTCCTTTAGTGTAAAATGGTACCATCAAGGTGCCCGTACGGCATGTATGAAAGATGCCCGCGTACCAGGTTTGTTTGACATAAGGTACTCCTCTGGGCGGAGGTTGCTCCGTATCTTCGAGATCACATTCGGCTGACCAGGCCAGACGGTGCAGTGAAATGGGAGCAATCGATCTTCCTGCGTGGCTCTGACAGCTTCTCTACAGACCCAGCGTAGAAACCTGGTTACATTGCCGAAGGGCTCTTGGCCGTCCTCCGCCATACCCTAGCCCAGGTATCTCGTCGCCATGTATATCTCACGAGGAGCGAGTTTTCAACTGTCTGGGTTTCTACGCCATCCCTCCATATTACCTACACAAGTACAGCATCTCACATGGCATCTTCATCGCAAACGTTGTGTTAAAGAGCTATTATATTGAAGTCATGCAAAAATGGAAATTCCGCGTCATCTTGGCTTCTCTCCTTTACCGTATTTTACCCTCAGTACGTCCGTAACTAAACTACACTGAACCGATGGCTTTGAGAACCGTGGACTATAGTTGTAAATGATATGAAAAGAATTGCAGTGGGGATCCATGCGAATTGTTGTGTTCATAAACCCATACATACCTACTCAAAAAAAAAACCTCAAGCCAGTTCGAAAAGACCAATCAAGTCTTGTATCGTCTCCAACGCCAAAATATTTCGATCTCCTTGGAATTTGTAAGAAGGACAAAGACTAAACATGGACAAAATGATCATGATAGGCATATCAATAATACATAATATGCTGAACTAGAAGTTGAGGTCTGAGGTCATGGTTCTGCAGCCAAAGCGCCCCTTGACATGTTCATGATGTTCGACATCCGTTCAAGGCAAGGCCATCACATTGCCATATATCCATTCAAGGTTAAGATACTGGGTCTCAAAGGGTCTTCCCAGACCCATCCTGATGCCGATATTCCGACAAGCTCGCGATCCCAGACATGGCCGCTGCAGGGGAAACAAGCTTCTGGAGACACGTCGCTTGCGTCTCCGCTCACGTGGGCTGTGCCGATACGCCGCGCAAACCCTCGCATGAAGATGAAGAGGGTCCAAGATCAGCCTCATTGACGACACGCCGAACCAAGATGACGGAAGAGGGGCCGAGGCCTGGAACAAGCCGGCCGGCACTTGACATAGAGAGACATCAAGTTCGGCACTCAATTAAAGTTTGGCCTCGTTCCCGTGACAGGAAGTGTCCCCCGTCCAGCCCCCGGCGTCTAGCCCGGCGCGGCTTATCCTCTGTGAGCTTGGAGGCCGGATAGCATGACCCTGTCCGAGAATTCTCATCACGGCCGTGGCGGTGACGAAGAAGCGGAATCGCATCAGACCCACTCGACATGCCCGGGTGCGGAATCGAGGCGGTGCGGCCGCTGCGGCGGCTGTGCCCGAACCCCGGAGCAGTCATCCCAGCCAGCCCTGCCCACATTACGGGCACACGAGCGTAACCGTAACGGGAACACCGGGCAATTAATATCGAACTGCGGATCTTCGTGGTGGTTAATTTTTGTTTAATACCGCGATGGTGATGCAATCGGGTTGTGGCGTCAAAGACCCGGGAGGTGGTGTAAACGTTTGACAGCGCTTGCGATACGTGCGCACCGGGCCTTGATTACCATGTTTGTCATGATTCGGGCGAGTGACGAGGAAGCCACGAAGCTTGTTCGCCCTGCTTAACCACTTCGATTGTGGCTGCCACGATCAGGCCATGCGTGAACGAATGCGTACACTCGACCAGTGCACCGGACCAAGAACGGTCTCGACGACAACGTGACAGAACCATCTTCGGGCTTCTACCAATTGTCTCGCTTCGGAATATAGCTGTGCTTGGCGGAGCTAGCCTTCGCCATGACCAGGTTGAGCAAGAAATGGAAATGTTTTGGGAATGATGGCCTTCTCTTTTGCCTCCAAGGTATGGTGAATTGAGGACGTTTACCCCGGCTCTTGGAGACCACGGGCAGAGCAACGAGGACATCAACGCTTCCGGCGAATGTCTCGCGACGCACTTCCCGCAACTCGGTCCAGCCAACCACGAGCTCATGGCTCTATTCTTATTCCAGTGCAATGTGACAAAGTTCTCCTCCAAAGGTCATAATAATCCTAAACCTTTGACGACTGATGGGAAATCATCAGATGGCGTCTGAAGGAAGGTCCAGACACGGCTCTGTTTTCATCAGGCAGCCTATGATAGTTGGCTGGCTGAAGGAATCAAAACCACTCCTTCAGAGAAAAGAGATATCACAGTCCTAAATGGATGCTTGCAGAAGACAACAAAGTCGTCTTTTGCTGGCCGTGGTTTAACCGCTGCCATTGGCCTGTTCGGATCCAAACCTCGAAAGCCATGGGCCAGCCAAAGATAGTATGCAGCATTCTTGGCCAGAAATGACTGCATCTCGAAGGATCCCGCGACGGTCGTTGAGACATTCCACTTTACGCCCGACGGTCAATATGCATCAGTCATTATGGCTGTATCCGAACATCAGAGTCGATGCACGACTTGAGCCGGGAGAGCGGCAAGAAGCCAAGACAATGCCAATCTCCAGCCGCCAACCACACTGTTTCCCCAGCCTTTCCTCGCGAAAGGAAGGCCAACACGCGACAAGGCGATCATGTCGATAAGGTGCGGTGAGCGGGGTGGGGAGGTTGCCCAGCAGGCTGCAGCTTTTGAGTTGGTTGCCCCCGTCATGTCATCACCGCGGTGTTGTTACCAACCCGCCGGTTCGGTGCCGAACATGCGAGAGGTTGCCATGTTGAGATGCAGACATCGGATAGCCTTTCCCAGCTCTCTCTCCCTCCGTGCTCGCTGGTGGCATTGCTAGATCTGAATTGCTGCAGCTAGCTTGCAGCGTAGCGGTGCCGACTTCCTTCAATTGCGTGGCCAGTGACGAGTACCGAACAGTGACATTAGGACCTGAAACCATGTGCCACGAATGCGTCTGCTGCTAGCCGCCAGAGATGCCATGTTGCCGTGGGCCTAACGACTAGGAGTGCTGGGAGAGCGTCACAGAGGCGGTAGCTCAAGCCCTGGAAGGCAGCCTGAGGGCCACCGAAGCAGCCCAGAGAGCACTGTGGCACAGCCTTTCTCGATGCTGAAAGCTCCGACAGGGAGCGCTACCCCGGAGGCGGACGATGGGCGGGCGGAGCGGAAGCGCTGTGTCGCGCCACAGGTACCTGGTGGAAAGTCAATCTGAGGAGTGTCGAGTTATGCATCAAACAGAGAGGAGTGATGGGCAGAAGGGCAGAAAAAGAAGAGACAAGATTGCATCGGACGTGCGCCGACCTAGGGCCTGACAGCCGTTGTCCCAAAGAAGGATAAGGGGTGCAGGGGGTAAGGGAGCAGGGCCACGCGTCTCTGTGGGACTGTGCAGCAGCCAACGGCCAATGGCACGAAACGGAGGCTGACGCTGAGAACGCTGGGAAGCAAGCAGCTGGGCCGGGGTTTTGGGTTTGGTTTTGCTGCTGCTGGCCATCCCAATTCCGTTCCAAACTTCCATCAGGCGCTGGCTGGCTGTTCTGGCTCTCTCGACTTGGGACGATTCAATCAAGCGGTGCGGTTCGTCAGCGGCCACCTCCTGTCTCGGGCGCCCATCTCCAGACGTTGCAGAGCTGCAGAGCCGCCCGCCGATCGCCAAAGGGGGATGTTCCCTGGGAGAGTACGGAGCTTCTCCTGCGAGTCTCTCGGATGGGCGTACGAAGACACACACGCTGCGTTCGGATGTTGCAGCATGGGATGAAATTTCGCGATTCACGAGGTGGCTGACGGGAGAGATGCAAGATGACGAGCGGCTCGTATTGCAAGACTCTGTGCTGTGCGTACGGTATCTTGTCTGCGGTGGCCTCTCGCGCATAGGTGATCCATAGGCAGAGTCCGAGGATGACAGAAGGCCAAGCGGCGGAACGGAGTTTGCATATATCGGTGATGTTGGGGAGGTTGAATCCGTTCGGTATGGTCAGCCTGGCGACGGGATTCTGCCAGCAAGCGACGCCGAGGATGGCCAAGATGAGGCCCCGGCGCAGGGACTCGGCTCATTGGCTCGGAGGCACAATGGCTGGAGTTGTGAAGGCAGCGCCAAACGTGCCAAGCGGGCGGATTCGCTTTACCAAGGCCGTGCCAGTTTGCCAATTTCTGGGAAATGGCGTCGAGCTGGCGCTGGCAGAACGGCACCGTAGCCGTAGCCGTGGCCGTAGCCGTAGCCGTAGCTGTAGCTGTAGCTGTAGCTGTAGCCGCTTTCTCGCAGTCTCTGTCTCTCCCCGCGTACGTATCATATCTTATCCCGTTAAGCAGATATGCAATCCTCGGGAGTGATCTTCGCTGTCAACCTTGAACAAGTTGCTCGCTGTGCTGCTGGATGAAATGGGATGGGTCGGGATCATGGATGATGGCTGCAAATGAGATGACGGGCACGCGACAGTCGACAGCGGACGA